GTAGCTTAATTGTTGCTGATTAGCTGAAGCTCAATTAACCATCAATCATGAATATGATCAACATTTGATGATATTGAAAGTGATTAATTTCATTTAACCTGAGGCATGATTCTGAAAATAATAATAACAAACATATTAACATGATGGTAATCATTTCAAGTGATTACACTTGATTAGTAATTTAATCAACAGTAATCAAAATGAAAATCACATTCATTATCTTAGAGAGAAACAGTTTATCAAACAATTAAAATAATTATCGATTGTAAATAAAGAATCAAGTTTTTTTTTCTCTCCAAGTAATACAATTAACATAACAATTAACACTTATCGATAATTATCATCGATATTTGTAACATTGTATTGATTGTTTTCTTATTCTTAATTATTTCATAAAGGTAGCAATTAAAGATTCGTTTATGTAAATTAGATTAATAAGAAAAGGAGAAAAGAAAAACTTTCCAAACAAAAAAGTTAGAACTTTTTTTCACCTCGAATTTAACTTGTTCACTCAAGTTGAACTTCTATCTACACTTTAACTTACACAATAAACAACAACAGCAATTGTAGTTGATAATATAACAAGATATATGTGTCTTGGTATTATATTTATGAAAGGTAACAAAGGTTTTCACAGGTAAGTTTTTATTCATGGTTTCAAGGTAAATAACAATGGGAAAAAAAAGGTAACTCAAAAAGTTACTCAAGTTAAACGAGGTAAACAAAAGGTAAAGGTAACATAATATTAAGATTTATATTGATTGTATTTGATACTTGTAACCACAGGAAGATGATGATAATGATGAGGATAAAATTTAAAACGTATTCCTGTTACCTGAGTGTGTATTTTTGTTCATTATTATTAAGTGATTATCATCATCATTATTATTATCATCTTTGTATATTCTGTCTCTGTCTCTTTCTATTTTTTTCTGTCTCATTTCAATCATCATGTTAAATGATGTTGATGAAATGACTTCTCATCATTGGGGTGGGATGAAGATGGAAATACATAGTTATATCAAGAAGAGGAAGACGAAGATAGAGGTTTTTTTTGCTGCTTTAAATGAGATGATGATGATGATGATGATGGTCTTTTCTTAGCTCAGTAGGATCTCTTATGAATATACATATACCTGGAGTGGGCCATTACATTTACCTTTGCAAGAGCTTACAAAATGTAATAACAACACGCTGAGAGTATGAGAGTAGCTTGTGAAGAGAGTGAACAAAATACTTACCTTGGATGATATTTTCTCTCTCTCTCTCTCTTTATTTTTCTTTCTTTCTCTTCCTTTTCTTTCTCTTCTTCTCTTCTTTCTTCTTCTATTTCTTCTTGTGTTACTTTCTCTTTGCTTTTACCTTTTTCCAAATTGCTGCCTGTTACCTTTACTTTCTTACCTTGATTGGATTACACTGAACCGTGAATAGCAATTAGCACTTCTTGAGTATCTTAAGATGTTGTTGTTGTTGTTGTTTATTGCCTCGTGTGTGCTGTTTAACCTTTAACACCGTGCCAAGAATTAACAATGATGATGATGATGATGATGATGATGGCGATAGTGATGATAAAATGGCTCAAGTTCTGGACACACAAAGGACTAAATGGACATTAGAAAATTTTAAGGGAAAAAAACATTTTTTCCTTTGTCAAAATTTTTTTTCTCTTTCTCCTTGAAACTTGAAATTGAAAAGATGCTCACACTTGACCATTGGTCATTTGGATTCTACTATTATCTTGCTAATTATATTAATACATATTTACATAAGTTACATCAATTACAGTTCAAGGGAGAAAGTGATTAAAGCAAAAGGATGTAATCTAGATGAGAGATGATAAAAATGAAGAAAAGGAAATTGTAATGAAAAAATTTTCTCTTCGAAATTCATCAAAATTGATCTGGGATTTTACCCTTGAGGCTTATTCTTGAGGCATTTTGTCAAAGACAAGGTACAAACCTTTATATCCATCACTTATCATCATCATCATCTTCATCTTCATTATCTTGTAGTAACTTTCATTGACTCTCTCATCTGACATGATTGAGAAAAAGTGAAAGACTTACAATCCATTTAAAGAGAATAAGATTTTTCTTAATCTTTACCTTCATCTTATTGTTATCGTATTATTATCATGATCAACATTTGATGGAAATTGATTAATCAATAACAACGCGAACAAATTATAAATTCAAATATCAATCAATTAAAAATGCAACAATCAACAAACGTTAATCAACAATTTAAACTACTGAAAAAAAAAGAAAAGGAAAACTTGAAAATCTCAACTAACCAAACAATCAGATAAATTTCATCAACAATAGTAAAGGTTCATTGTTGATAATGATGATTGAGCTTTCATTCAATCATTTACTAGTAAATATTATCATTTATCTTCCTTCATCATCATCCTCATCATCATCTTGTATCTCTCTCTCTCTCTCTCTCCCTCTTGAAAGTGTTGAAAAATTGTTGAAAATTGATTGCAAAGTATTATATGTAAAGGTGAAAAAGTTTTTTCTTTCTTACTAGAAAATGGAACTTGTTTTTCCAGTTATCATCATCATTTTGAAGATGATGAAGATGATGAGACTATGGAAGATGATGAAAAAAGTGGCAAAACAAAACAAGCAACAATAACAGGCGAAAGTAAAGGAACCATGATGAAAGAAACGATATCATGTTGAGTTACATTTATCTCTTTTCTACTGAACAAGAGAACTTTTTTTTTCTCCATCATTATTATCTTTTAGTAGAAAAAAAATCATCTCCCTCATCATCTTCATCCACAAAACTCTTTAACTTATTTGCTCACTCATTTACTCTCTCATCATCATGTAAAGTTAATCAAACGTTGATTGAAATACTATTGAAGGTGACAATTTAAATCCAATGAAAGGTATTGATTTGTCTCAATGAATTTCTGTTTACCTGTTAATCCAATAATATATTCATTCAGATTTCGTCATTAACATTGTAATAGTTGGTTGATTGTTAGAGGGGAAATGGGATTGATAAATTATCACCTAATTAAAGTAATTGAAACATTATAATTAGTAATATTTGATTGGCACGATGGTTCAATTGAATTTCATTTATCTGATGATTTATTTGATTATTAAGGCTAATTGTAAATTAGCTGGGTGATGATTTTTTTTTCTTGTTTGTTTCATCGAGATGACCATTGGTCAGTATGATAGATTTTTTTTTTCTTCTTCAAATTTAACTGTTGATGGTTATTTGTTGTTTACTTCATAATCTGAGCTTCAAACTCCGTAAATACTTTTCTCATCATCCGTGAAGTTTCAAGTTGTTTTTTTCCTTTCCTCATCCTCATCATTGCTTTTCTTTTCTTTGCTTCTTATTTTTCTCTTTCTTTTCTTTCTCTTCACTTTTTAAAGTAAAAACCACAAGCAAGTAACAAGATGATGAAGAAGATGAGAGAGATAATATTCGAGGGAGAAAAGGAAAACCGAGCAAGAGAGAGAGAGAGAGAGAGACATTAGCGGGAGAAGGTGAGATTGTTGTTGTTGACTAGACTCTCTCTCTCTCTCTCTCTCTCTCTCTCTCTCTCTCTCAGGATAATCCATCTTACTTGGGTGCAGCCCTCCTTGCAAACCTGCTGATTATGGGGCCTAATTACCGCCTCAGGGTATAACAATTCAAGTGTATAGATGAGGATGATTATGATAGAGAGAGAAAAGAAAGAGCCAAAGGAACCATATTAATAAATACATGTTACTCTAAAATTGATCTTTCTTTTCTTTATGTTTCTTTTAAATCATCTTCTTCTTTTCGCCATCAACTCATCATCATCATCATCTCTTTTCTTTACTTACCTAAAAAACCATTTTCGAGGGTAAGATGATGAAGATGAAAATGATGATAAGTGAAAATGACTTGGCTTCAATATTTTGTCTTCCTTTTTGCTCCATTGCTTTTAAATTGTGTTTACGTTTGTAAATCAAGAGGAAACTTTTTTTTTCTTATCTAACTTTAACCATCTCTTGGAGCTTGACTTGAATTAACAATTTAAATTGTTACAAATTAACTTGACGACTTTTCTTAAGTATTAACCAATGATATACACAGGAGAGTATCATAAATATGTCTTGTTGATAATTACACAACAATCAGTGACTAATCACAATTAGACATTCATGTTAAATTAACTAACGAACAGCTAAAAAACTTGAGAAACTTTTTCTTATTTTATTAATATTAAACATCCACTTTAATTACAATTAGCTAATCATTCATGGATTTACATGATCTTAATCATTAATTGTTTTCGCTACTTTGGCAAATCAACTGAGTTTATCAAAATTAACCTTGAAATTATCATTTTGCTTTTTTTAATTGTGAACAATTAAAATTTGTCACATACAAAAGACTTAAAAATAATCACACAAGGAAGTTAATTATTAATAATTGTGATATATATGTATGTTTGATTATTGTTGATGATAAATTAAATTGTTGCAACTTCATAGGACCATGAAAATTAACTAATGATAAACAATAAAAATCAACAGGACAATTTAAATTGTAATCAACTTTGATATTCAATTGACATTTACAATGAGAAACTTTTTTTTTCATCTCTTCAAAAAAAACTAAATCAAACCTGAATATGAAAAAAAAGTTTCGTCTCTTTTTTTAATTGTTACAAAATCAATTGAAATTGTAAAATGTTAACATGACTACGATTAATCAATGTTTTATCATGATCAGGCTTAAATTGTTATTCAACAATCAACGTGAGATGTTTAATTATGATTAACAAAATCCCTTCTCCACCCACAAATGATTTCCCTCTTCTTCCTGTTAATCACAACGATGGTTAATTATTATCATTATTGTGCTCATTCAAATTGTTGTTGTCGGTTTAATGATGATGACAATTAACTGCCCGCCCATTAATTTACCTTTACTATTATCATCATTTATCATCCTTATCATCCTCATCCTCAACTCTCTCTCTCTCTCTCTCTCTCTCTCTCTCTCACCATCATCCTCATCGTGTCTCTTGTTATCCTCATCATTTTATAATCTTGTGTCCAATGTTAATTGTTGATCGTTATTAACAGTTAACTTTTACCACCATCAACAATTAGCTATGTAATCAAGTTGATTGTAAATCATTTTAATCAATTTTAATTTTAATTTTAATTCTACAAAATTAAAAATCAACGATTTACTAATGATGATGATTAACTTTCAATTTTAACCTTCACTTTTAATTGTTTTCAATATTAATCTTTGTCTTCATTTGTTATTATTTTTCAAAGTTTGTTTGTGAAAGTTAATTGTTGTTAATCAGTATGCTAATTCAACATAGATCAGTTCCTGATAGAGGAATTAAATCAATAACTTATAATATTAATCAACATAAATCGGAATTAGATGATAATGAAAATTATCCATCATCTCATCAAGTTAATCAATCCACTGATTATTATTCATCTTCAACTAATTATCATGGAGTAAAAAGTTTACGAGAATACTCAATTACCATGATTATGTTAATCATCGTAGTGTTACAGTTAATTTGGTTTGTTGATTGTTCATCAGGAGAAAATTGTTTTGGCGGAATTCAATCATTTGAGAAATTAGCAATGACCGATTTTGATGACGACTATGCACCAGCGGGAACTTTACTCCAACAGCCCGATCAAGCGCTAACTCGAGACTGTATTAACCTTTGCCGACAACAACCGACCTGCCTTTCCTTTGGCCTGGATTATACTCGATTCCGGTGTGCTGCTTATGCGGTTCACTCTCAGGAGACTTCGCAACTTCGAGCAAACCTAGTGCCCTCCAATACGACCAATCTTTTCGAGAAGGTGTGTTACCTTGGTGTCCATCGAGATGAATATCAAAAAATTTGTGGAGTCGAAAGACTTTGGACATTTGAACGGGTTAAAGGTTCCTGGTTGGAAGGGTTCGTTGAGACGACACTCTCCAATATCGGTTCGAAAGATGAATGTGCCAAATCGTGCCTAATGGAAGCCGCTTTTACCTGTCGAAGTGCCGATTATGATCACGATAAAAGAATCTGTCGACTCTCAAAGGAAGATCGTCGAACTCAACCTCAAGCTTTTCGAACCTCGTTCGGTTCACCAAGGGACTACCTTGAGAATCAATGTGCTGCTCCAGGTTAGTCATCAAATTAATTATCGAAAAAATCAATCAATCGAAGCTAATCATCTTCTATTATATTCGCAATTAATCAAAATCTTTTTTTTCTTCATTGAAAAAAAAATTCTTATTGACAAGGTTACTATTAATTTCTCAATGTTTGAAACTTTTTTCTTCCTCTCTCTGAGTGTATCAACTGATTGAGCTTAATTACAATTAACTGATTGCAATTTGATTGTTAAAATTAAGATTAATTGAAAGCAATTAAATTACTATTAACCTTTTCCTTTTTTAATTGCACTTTTTTGGTCAACTCATCAAGTTAATTGTGATGACAGATTAATGATAATTAACTATGTTCATATACCTGTTTGGTTGTATCTTAATTATGTTCAATCAAAAGTGATTTAAATTAATTTAATTCCCTATCATGATAAGATGATTAACCTTAATAATATTAATACAATTTGAAACAATAGATTGAATTAATATTAGATGAAAGTTTATCAATTAGAATTGATTGTTACAATTAAAGGTAAAGATTAAAAAAAAACAATTTAGTTGTTCACCTTAACAATTAAAATACTTTGAAAAGTGTTAATTAGTTGAATCAACGTTTTTTTTTTGTCATTCAATTATCATAATCAATTTAAATTATGATAATTAATATGAAAAGCCAATGACCAGGGCAAGTTAATTGTAATAGTAAAAGTTTGTTGATGTTCAGGTCAGTGACAAATCAACTGTTAATTGTTTAACACTTTTACAGGTCAATTAATTGTTACTGGACAATACTGGTCATCATTATAATCACCAAGTAAACAATTAACTTTTAACCTGAAAGCCAAACAATTAACTCTTTCAGGATAATAATTAAGAGGAGAGATTAAAACAAAAAATAATATATCAAAACATCAAGAGAGAAATTAAATTTAATCCAGTTGTTATGATTAATATGATAAACTGAATAATAGCTATGAGATTTTAATTAACAACAACAATCTATTGTTGGTGGTTAATTGTTTCCAATGATACATTTAAATATAAGGGAAAAAAAAGGAAAGTCACAATTTAGTAAATTGTGACAATTATATGGATTGAGTTTCGTTGGAAATAATTTTTTGAAACTCCAACGTTGACCCAAATCTTTATGGACACACCGAGTGGGATTTGGTGTTTAAACCCACCCCACCCTCTAAACATGATCTCACTAATTGTCCGTTTACAATGGATGGTAAATTGAGACCATTGTTGTTGATTAGAATTAAAGTTAATTGTTCCCATTATTTGTCCATTGTTTTAACAATCGAATCTTTTTTTATCAAAAACTTTTTGTTTCCAATTTTTGTTTTGTTGTTTAAAAACAAAACTTTTCGAGTTTTAAATTTGTCCTGTTTATTTACGATCTTTGGCCGTTTACCTTTGAATTGAATTTCTTTTAGGTCCAACAACGTGTCTCTATGATACCAAGGCCAATGTTGCCGTTATCACGATGGATTCTCTGGTTTTCGCTCAAAATATCGAGGATTGTGAACATAAGTGCGACAAAGAGTATACATTTAATTGTCGATCATTTTCTATCGATTCGACAAGGTGTTTCCTCTCTGGCGATGATTCCGTTTCCTTGTCTCACGCTGCGCTTCCGGTTAAACCTGGTTCGATGTATGGTGAGAAAAAGTGTGTCACCGAAACTTGTACCCATGGGATATTCACTTATGAAAAGATCACTGGAATGGTTTTACGATCAGCTTTGGCCACTTCGGTTCCAATGCCTCATACGGCTTCACTTGGGGTCACTGGTACTTGTCGTGACGAGTGTGACAAGTCAAATCTTAATTGTCCAGCGTTTTCTGTTTCTTATTTAACCTCAAGGTGTGAAAGGCTTGATCGTAATTCACAAGGTCGATCAGGTGATTTTATCCCTCGTGAGGGTGAATCTTTTTTCGAGAAAATTTGTCTTCGTGGTCCCGATGTGGCCACAATGTGTCAAGATAAATATTGGGCCTTTGAACGGGTAATTGGCTATGAATTGACCTTAGAACTTTACGAACAGGTTTACCATTTTGTTCAATCTCGTCGATATTGTCAAGAATATTGTTTACAAGAGAAACTGTTTGTTTGCCGATCGGCGCTTTACAATGATGAAACCACCGAATGTAAACTATCACGGGAAGATCGTCGAACCAAACCGGCAAATTATATTCGAAATCAGAATCCAAAGATCAGTTACTTGGAAAATCAGTGTATAAGGTCACATTCTCGTTGTCCTTATGAAGATACTCCCGGTGCTTATCCGACCTACACCGATATTGTTGAGTCGAGATCTGTGAATTCCAGATCAGCTTGTGAACAATTGTGTTCAGAGAATCGGCAATTTATCTGCCGATCTTACGCTTTCTATTCCTCGAATAATGAGTGTCTCTTGTCGGGTGATGATCGCGCTTCCGGTGGATCTTCAGCAGTCACTGCTCGTCCTGGAATGACCTACTATGAACGTCGATGTGCCAAAGTCCCTAATGATAACTATCCAACAACGGAAGATGGTGACAATTCAATCACAGGTTCTAATGATCCAACCAGATTAACACCAACAATCCCGACAAAACCAACATCAATCTCATCGGCTAATTTACCCGATGATGAAACATCACCAACTAGTACCACAAGTGGTTCCAGTAGGCCAACTCACACTGGATCAACTTCCTCTTACGATACCAGGCCAACTTCATCTTCTCCAACCACTTCGATTGGTTCGTCTGTAGATTACACTCCAGATCAACCGTCAACCCACACTGGTGACAATCAATCAGGTTCATCATCAGCCGATTCAACACCTTCCACTGGCACTTCATTCACATCAACAACAAGTACCACAGGTACAAGTACATCGACCAATAGCTCTTCATCGGTCAATCCATCGACTGCTAATGAGGAAACACCTTCGATTTCAGTTGGTACAACAAGTCCACCAACATCACCGAACTCAAGTAAGAACCATAATAATTTTTCTCGACCCTCTGAATCTCAACTTGTTGTTTTTCCAGGTCAAAATTCACTTAAATGTGGACCTAATGGACGATTCACTTTTGAACGTATTCCTGGATTCGAGCCGATCGGTGGTTTCTTTAGTCTATTGTACTCAGAGAAATCTAATCCCGGAATAGTGACCGAGTGTTCCCGTCGATGTGAACATAACCTCGGATGTACAGCGTTCATCATGGACTATACTCGACGTGCTTGTTTTGGCCTTTTCGAAAATGCTTCCATTGGAAAGTTAGATCTTCGACTTTCACCAGGTCGTGATTACTTTGAAGGATTTTGTGTTGCTTCACATCTAACATGTCCCAAGTTATGGACCTTTGATCGTATCGTTGATCAAACCTCGATCGGTGTTCAGCCCAAATCAATCATCCGTTATATTCATAAGCCAGATTGTCGTTTAAGGTGTTTAGAGGAGCGTCGATTCAACTGTATGTCAGCCAGTTACGATGCTACTCTACGTGAGTGTCGACTTTACGATCAAGATCGAAACTCAGGCCAATTGAGATTGATCTTCACTAAAGGTACCGATTATATTGAAAATCAGTGTAATGTTGATGTTGTTTCGTGTCGATATCATCCCATTGAACGGGATATTACAATTGTGACCGTGACCAAGGCGATTCGAGGTTCGTCTACATTTTTCTGTGAACAAGAGTGTAATCGTCAGAAAGAGTTCAACTGTCGATCCTACACTTATCTCGATCAGACCAATATTCCAGGAGGTAACTTTTGTCTCTTCAGTTCGGACAGTAGAGGTACAAGTCAAAAAGAGGCGATGGGATATCGACCTCGAGCCTTGTACGCTGAGAAGGATTGTCGAGGCTTCAGAAAGGGTCGAGTATCCTCAACACCAGAATCAACCGATTCACCTCAGCACCAATCAACTCAACATCTTCCACCACCACTACCAAAACCCTCACAACCCTCTCCTCCACCTCCAGCTTCACAAAAACCACCTCTCACTTTTCAACCACTTTCACCTCCGATCGATTTGACAACAATGATAACCAAAAGTCCAAGCGCCAATCAACCCACACCAGTGCCACCGACACTCACTACACCTCGAAAATGTTCAACCTTTGATTTTACCTACGAAAAGACTTATGGGTTTGACCTTAGATTCGCTCGTCGGGAGCGATCGCGAATACCACCAAGCCTTGGAATAACCACCTCGTGTCAAGATGAGTGCACTCGACGAGGATCAAGATGTCGAGCATTTTCCCTCGAATATGGACCAAACCAACATTGTTTCCTTCTTGAAGACTCAGCGGGCGAAAACCATCTCGCCCTCTCAAAGATCCCAAACATCGCTTACTTTGAGAAAATTTGTCTAAAAGGTAATTGATTCAATTAACTTTCTACCAATTTAAATCTCATTGAATTAATTTCCAACCTTTTCCAACCTTTTAGCTAAACCTTGTGGTAGACTTTGGTCATTTGAACGTATTATCGGCTATCAATTTACCGATCAACCTGATCGAGAGATTGACAATGTTGATCTAAGGTCAGACTGTCAAGATCTCTGTTTAGCTGAGGCCACTTTCTCATGTCGATCAGCTACATTTGACTATTCTCGAAAAATATGTAAACTATTCAAAGAAACTCAAAGATCTCGACCAAGCGCTTTTAAACCAACATCAGAAGAAATCGATTACCTTGAAAATCATTGTGTCAAAGGTAAAAGAGAATCAACTAATCAATAGTAAACAAAGTCTCAACTATTTTTCGAATTTCATTTTTTTTTCTCTCTCTCTTTCAGAACCTTCAAGTTGCCAGTACAAAGATTTTACCGATACCTACTCAGGGAATGTCGATCGTATAACTCATGCCTTCTCACTGACCGATTGTCAACGTCAGTGTGACACTGAGCGTCTTTTCCCGTGTCGAGCGGTGAATTATGAATCATACTCTCGGGAATGTTCATTATCAAGCTACGATATTGCCTCAATCGGACTTGGACAGAAAGCTCTTCAACTACGTCGACATTCAATCTACAGCGAAAAAGGAAACTGTGAACAAGGTGAGAGAGACCAAAACAACAAACGAAAACAATATTAATAGTACTTTAAATCAATGCGAACAATTAATTTTTACTTTACTATTTTTCTCTTCAAAAATGGTGCACAGTTACCGTTCAATGTAATCCTCAAGACATGGTGCTGACCCTAAATTTTGATACACCCTTTATGGGTCGTGTCTATGCCAAAGGAAATCCTGCCCACTGTTTTGAGGTCGGAACTGGACAAACCCGGATGCAGTTTTCAATATCATTCGGAACCCGATGTGGCACCCGACAAGAAGTAAACAATTAATCTGATTCCTCTTTGTTCATCTAATATTCATTTACGAATTGGTTTCAATTGCTTCCTATTAGATGAGAGAGACTAAACATCATTTAGAATATCAATTATATCTCTTTCTCTTTTTTTTTCTCTCTCTCTCTCTCTTTCTGAATTGTTGTTCCATGTTTGAAATGGTTCTCTGATTATTCTGAATAGACACACTGATACCTTTCCTCTATCATCTCCATTTTCCATGAAAAAAGTTCTCTCTCTCTCTCTCTCTCTCTCATTGTTGTCATCTCTCTTACAAGAGGAACCTTTTAATATCTCTATTACATTGGATAGTTTTTTTTTCATTCTATTTTGTGATTTTTTTTGTTCTATTCTACTATTTTTTTTTCTTTCTTTTGTTCTTTTAGGGATTGAAAAATTTTGTCAATGAAATTGTGGTTCAACAACACGCGGTCATCATGACTGACAGCGATCGGACAATCAAAGTGATGTGCTCTCTCAGTGCCATTGACCAAACGGTTACATTACGTTCACCTACTCAAGGGCGATCAGGAATTGATGTTACGTGAGTGTTTTCATCGTCACTCATTATAAATCAATTTAGAATAATTAATTAACTTGATTAACCCACAAGATCATTAATCTATTAGTTAATTGATCTTCTTCCCGTCAACATCTTATAACTTTCCAATTGATTTATCAACATTTATCTCAATCGACAGTCTTATTATTTACTAGACTCAAGTTTTGGTTGTAATTAATTTTCAATATAAGTTGATTGTTGAACAAATTAAGACTATGGTTATTTCACTAAATGGTTGCTAAACTGTTATACCAACAGTTAAATATACAATATCAATTGAATAATCATTATATTTACATTGATTGTCTACATAATAGACAATCAATAACAGTAACAAGTTTTATTGTTTCTTTAATTGTTGATTGGGTTTTGTTATGATTTGTTGATTGTTTGATTTGTAAAAGTATGTATAATTTGTCTACGGTGAAAATTGCCTAAAGGCATTGTTTTTTTTTCTTTCATCAGGATTTGCTTTTTTGTACAGAGAAAAAGTTTTACATTAACTAATTGAACTTTTTTTTTCTTTCACGAATCTAAAGTTCACTTAAAACCGGTAAAAGTGCTCTTGAAAGGCCGATTCCATCGGTGGTCACCAATACCGCCGCTCCTCCGACTGTCATCATGAGGATACTTGATCGTAGTGAACGAGATGCAACTTTAGTCTCATTGGGCGATGAACTGACCATGAAAATCGAGATAATGGACATTTCATCAGCTTTCGCAATTTCAGCTCGAAATCTTTATGCTCGAAGCTCAAGTGGGGAATCTTTATATCTTATTGACGCTAATGGGTTAGTTTTATTCTATTAATTTTCCTTAATCATCTTAATTTGTCGTAATTCTATGAGTTATTTTTCGTATTCTGAATCTTAATGTTTCTTTTTCTATTCTTTTCTCTATTTGTTTAGATGTCCAACCGATGCATCGATCTTTCCAAGTTTAAAACTCGATCCTAATGATGGAAAATCGTTGAGATCAACATTCAAAGCTTTCCGTTTCCCTTCAACTGGAGTGGTCAACTTTGAGGTGCAAATAAGATTCTGTCCAGATAAATGTCTTCCCGTTAAATGTTTCGATTCACTTGAATCATTTGGTAGACGGAAAAGATCAAGTTTATCCAAAAGTGGTACCGATAATGGTGAAGAATGGGTTGATGATGAAGATGAATTGGAGGCGAAAATGATTGCTCGTAAATTAGATGGACCATCGGTGACCACTGTTGCTACCGATTTTAAATTATCTGATTTCTTTGGTACAACTAATAGAAGTGCCCTTCACGCCAGCCGAGCCGAAGGTTACACTTACAATGTTCCCGAATCAGAGACAAATCGAGGTTACAATTATGAGGTATCTCTTCATTCAACTACAATGATTCCTCATTTACCTGCACCTCTTGAACTTATTGGTACAACAAGCGGATTCAATAGCACCAACAGTTATCATCGCAATAACCAATTGAACAATCGTATGGGCTATTATCCGCCAACAGCGAGTGCCTATCATTATAATCCATATTCATCATATGGTCAATCCGATTCTTCTGGTTATAATTATGGTTCACCACAAAGTTCATATGGTTACGGATCGGGTTCACAGTCCCAACAGCAACAACCATCCCACCATTACAACACTCAGGGTTACGGTGGTTATACAATTAGTAACAATCAACCCACCGCCAATAATGGTTATGGTGGAAATGGTTATCATCAAAATATTGGTAATTCTTATCAAACATATTCCCAATCTAATCCAAGTAGCAATCAAAATCAATTCCAACCAATAGACAACCGTTATCATCCATCATCATCATCTTCGTCATCATCTTCATCCCCACAATCACCCAATTCATATGGACCAGAGACACGAATAGTATCTTCATCTAATAATAATCATCATCTTCCATCCTCATCTTCATCATCATCAACTTCATTTTCATCTGAAAATGGTCAATATCCCAAAGAATTACCATCAAGTCCATCGACTGTTAATATTATTGGAACTCGTTTCGGTTCATCATCGGGAGTAACCAATGGACCAAGTGACGATATTTCAACGGTTCGGCCTCGATCAACGGACAGGAAGAAATTCAAAGCACCTCGACCTCTTCCCAGGCCAAAAGGTATGCCTGCTAATCCGATGGTTATTAATAGTCCTCCAGAAGTCGATTCCCCTGAGGTTCCTCTTTCTTTAGCCATTGTAGTTGGTGACAAAGAGAAAAATAAAGATAAGAGTAAATGGAATCTTGAGACAAAGGGTAAGATGTAAACAAAGAAAGAAATTACAATCAAAACAATCTAATTACAATTAACAAACACACATATCCGAATATCGAACAATAATCACCTCAGCTGATTTAGAATAGAAAAACATTTTCATCTAAATCTTAATCTTCTTCTTACATTTTAATGTTACTTTTTTTTTATTCATACAATTTGTATATTAGAAGTTAACATGTGGCTCTTTGTATTTACAATTAATTTCCTTTGTTTTCCATTATGTATAATTAGTTAATCATCATATTCTGACTTTCTCTTTTATCTTCTCATTTACCTTTCCATGATAATTAACCTTTAGTATTTACACATTACAATGATTATCTAATTGTTTTTTTGTTGTTTCTCTTTCTAATTGAAGATAAAAACTCTCATCCATCATCATCAGAAATCATAAGTATCCCTTGTAACACTGGACCTGCCATCTTATATACCGCTTGTATTGTTACTCTGGCTCATTGTTTGGTCGTTGCTTGTGGTTACTTTTACTACCGGAAGTACGTTTATTACACTGGTGGATCTAAATTGTTTACACTTTCCTCCTCTTCGGGCAGAACCATTTCCACTGAAAATATCACCTCAGTTACACGAAATCCACGTGCAACCAATTCAAATGTTTTCTTTGGCTCACCCAATTCAGGATTGATCTCTGATCGACCCACTCCATCATCTTCATCACAAGGATCATCTTCATCTTCATCAAGTGTCACCAATGTTGGTTTCCGGTCATTATATTCAACGGGAACCCTTGGATCACCACCATGATCATTTATCTTTCATCATAATTATCATTCATTTTTTTCATTTCATTTCTAATTAAATTAAAATTAAGAAAATCGTCAAATTAATGATAATAAGAAAGTGAGAGAGGAAGAGAGAAACAGAGACAGAGGACAAATTAAACAAAAATCAAATTACATGACAACAAATTAAATTAAAAATCATGTTTTGTATAATCAACATCACCACACATACAAAGAAAGTGAGATATAAATTGATAAATTAACTTTGTTGTTGTTGTTTTGTGTAATTGATTAATTTTTAAATGTATACGATAAAAGTAAAAACAAATTAATAGAAGTTAAAATTGATAACTAATTATCATCTTTAGTTAATGTTCGGGTACGAACGGATCGAGTTGAATTCATTGAAAGTAACGCAAGAACCATATCACTTTTATCCTTCATCGATTTAACTTTTGTCGATTTTGTTGAAATTGTCGTGGCCTCTTTATCGGTACCATTGGTGTTTGTTGTTGATTTTTTCGCATTCCTTTTGGCTCGAAGATGACGAAGCTTCTCGTAATTTCGAAGTAAAAACAATTTATGTTTTAAAATGTAACAACTCGAATGATAGGATAAGGGTTTCATTAAGTTGGCTCGATTTCGGGATTTACCGATCTCTTCGACGGTACCACTGTTCCCAATTTTGGACAAATTTCCATCTTTTCGGCGATTTGTCGAGTTGGCGGCACACTTTTTAATTATACAAATTCCCTCGTATAAACCTTTCTTTTCCTCTTTCTTTGCAAGGGAACCATTATTACGCTGGGTTCGTCCTCCGATTACCCCACGGCACTTTGATGATCCACATCTACAGACTTGTTGGGTTTCTCGATTGAAACAATCGAAATTATAATCGTAGGTCAATTCTTCTCCTGGTTCAATGTTTCGCAGAGCAAATAGTCCGACTCGATAATAACCACCGACTGACCATTTTTGCATCTCACAATTGGGTTCGCAACTGTGATTCACGTATCGACCTTCATTTGCTAATCGATAACCATCAATGACCAAACCAGCGTCTAGATTAAGACAATAATGATGTGGATCATTATTGTACCTTTCGACCATTCGATATCTAAACTCTTTCTCGTTAACCACCTCGCCAATGTATTCGAGGATAAAATTATTTGCTTGAATTGATTCAGTGGTTCGAACACCCCAACCTCGATCTGGTGTTTCAAACCGCTCCAGGCCGGGAGACCAGTCATGTTTTTGCATCCGTTGGTTGGCACATTGATCACCACAGGGACAGAGATTGGGTGAACATTCAACATACATCAAACGATTAAGACAGTCCGATAGGCAACCTTTTTCCGTGGGTTCAACGGGCTTTTTACAATTACATGATTGCTCTTCATCCACTGAAACGGGTTTTACATTAACAAATACATTTGATCGGATCTTTTTATAATTACTACTACAAGATGAATTAAGTTTAGATCCAATTAATTGACCTCTAGTTGATTGGATCCAAATGTCGTAGGGTAATTTAAAATCAGAACGAGTTCGCCGAACCTTTTGACCGGCATATAATGGTGGAGGTAAAAGAGTTGAATATCTTGCATCTAACTCTTCATCTTCGGGAATTGTTTTCATTACATCAGCGGAAGATGATGAAGGGCCACCGACACCACCACCGGTAGAACCACTTGGACTTGGTGGAACTGTTTCCAGATCCTCACTTGACATAGTAGATTGAGTTGATTGGGTTGACTCGGTGGCGGTAAAATTTGCCGCTGTTTGTAAACTACCTTCAGGTGCTTCCGCTTTAAATGCTGAGGAAAATAAACCCGCTTTAAGTGTTTTCCTCTGGGGTAAATAAGAAGGATTTTTTGTCTTTGGTTGATTTGATTTTCTCTTTTTACCACTGCCACCGCCTTCACCAGTAGTTGAATTTGATGAAGGTGGGGTGACTTCAATCACGACAAGTTGGGTATTATTTTCAACTTGTTTATCTTTATTTTGTACTGAAGGGGAAGATGATGATGCGGAAGATGAGCCACTTGATTTGGTCGTCGGTGTTGTTGTTGATGATGGTGGTTGACTTTTACTCTCACGAAGTGATCGCCGAGAAGATGAAGATGATGATGATGAAAGAGGAGGAGGTGGTGGTGGAGGTGGAAGAGAATCTCCTGAAGATTCAATGGATTTCTTTGAAGAAGAGCTCGATTTAGACATTTCTTTTTTGTTTATTTTCCTTCCACCACTAACCCGCTTAGGTGCAACTGGAACATTTTTAATTTCCAATTTATCTCGAGCCAAGGCCATTTGTCTGGAAGTTCGCAATGGTGTTAAAGGTGATGCTGATGGTGACAAATTAGCAACTTTGCTCGGAATAATTTGCTCATCAGAACCATTTGTGTTTAAATGTCTTTTCCTTCCTCTCGCTGGTTTAGAAACTGGTGGTGGTAATTCATTAGATTCATTGGTGTTAAGACTAGAATTTGGTTTAGATTTGGTTTCTTCTGGTGTCGGTGTCAATAGAAAATTAGATGATTCACCTTGAATCTCACCATTAAGTCTATTATTATTATTGGTACTTTTCGAATCTAAATCATTAACCAGTTCAGTCACCATTTTATCACTTGTACCATTGTTTGGGTTAATACTTTCATCAGCTTTCTCAGAGTTTAGGGTAAGGGTGGGAACAGGATCGATCGGGCTAATCACCTTGGGGATATTTTTCTTTTTCTTCTTTGTTTTAACAAATCCTGTCCTATTGATAAGGCGTCTTTTCTTGGCAACTCTTGGCTTTTTTAGATCACCGGTCGACTTTGCCTCGATGGTGATGACATTAGCACCTTTAACCCCAATCATAGCCAATTCCTTTGTATCTTTATCGCCATTCAACTCACTACTAGCGGCTAAGGAAAGGGTCACCTCGTTATGGACACTAGATTTTTCCAAGACATCATCTTTTGATCCATTAGTTGGTTTAATTGAGTTACAGGTTTTATCCTGTTGATTATTAGAGGCAGCGGAAGTCGATGGTTTAATTGATTTACTTGAGCCTCTTTTACGCTCAGATTTATGCATGTCACCAGAATTAACAATCGATGTAGATGTAGATGAAGTGTTGATGATTGAAGTTGTTGTTGTTGTTGTTGTTGTTGTTGATGTTGATAAAGATGGTGATGATGATGGTGTAGATACCAATTTCTCATGGTAATCATTTTTTGTAAGAACACATTGCTCACTATAATTAATTGGTGTTGATTTTTTCTCAAGAGGTTCCGTTGTGATAATGTTTTCTTTATCACTAACCACGCCAACAGCAAATTGAGCTTCTTTACTATTATCAACAATAATATTCCCGCTAATTACTTTATCACTTTCAGGGTTACAATTTAAATCAACATGTAAAGGTGACTTATTTGTTGACTGAATTGTTGAATCTAAAGAAGGAGCAACAACAACAATGGTGGAAGAGGAAGAAGAAGATGATAAAGAAATGATATCCGTTGGTTCAGTTATTGTTGTTGTTGTTGTTGTTGGTGATGATGTTGTTGTATCAATTAGTGAAGATGATGAGGTAACAATAGATTTAGATAATAAATTACTAGATGATGATTCTGTAGTTAAACAATTAGTCAATTTAGATGAAGAGGAGGTTGAAGACAATAAAGATGTCACAGGAATGGTTGAGTTAAGTTTACCATTATGGCCTCCAACAGTAAAAGATTTGCTTGATATCCCACCAATGTTAATATTGGTTTTTCCTCCTTCCTCTGGTCTCCCTACCAGAGGTGGGCCTATAGTTGGGGAGTCATCACTAGTGGTGGTGCTACTTTTACCTAGATCATCATGCCCGGGGCAAATTTGAGTTACCTTTCTTGTCCTTTTCTCTGGATCAACCTCAAAATCCTGCTCATTGCCTGTTTCCTTGGTTACAAGTTGTGTTGTATTGTTGATCGGTACCATTGGTTTATCCTCATCACCATCATTACCATTACTCGATGATGCTTGTTGATTGTTAATTTTTACACAATTAATATTATCATTATTATTTTGTACATTATTAACATTGATTTTTGCATTGCTTTGTCTTGTACGACGAGAAGATGGAGGATAAGATTTACGTTCATCAATTGATTTTAATGATGATGATGATGATAATTTTGCTCGAGATCGATTTTCACATTTTTGAGTAACTCGATTTGCATTTCGACGGGATTTAGGTGATGTGCTTTGATTATTACTGTTAGTTGTATTACTATTTTGATGATTATTACTGTTACTATTATTATTATTATTGCTATTTGTACCAACTACTGATGGTGATTTACCATCACCTCCTCCACCACGGTTGTTGTTTAGAGTTGATTTAACTTCAGTTACAGTTGATGAAGAGGATGATGATATTGCATTGGTACTTGCACTATTAACATTATTAGTATTTACATTGGTATTACCCTGATTAGTGAGATTAGCTGATTGTTTCTCACTCTTTGTCTCGATGTGACGATGATGCCGTTTCTTGAGAGGTAATCGCTGCTCAGCTACTTTAGATCCCGAACTTGATTCACCTGAAAAAAGGAAAAAAAATTGAAAGAATTAGAAAATCTTAAGCCACAATACAACAATCTAAATTAATTATTTCACTATTTCCTTTCAATCTTAGTAGTAATGATTATCTGATGATTTGATCATGATGATGATTAAAAAACAGAACCTAATCAATTCATGGGCAGATGTACAAGTCTATTGACTTGATAATTATTATAACAAAATTAACTCTGAACAAAAATTATCCCTCTTATCATCATCAGCAATTTATATTAATAGACAATCAATCAATCAATAGCTTATCGAATCATATAAAGAAACTAATTGATTATAAAATACTAAACATTAATCTTGTTAAGTTGTACGATACAAGGAAATTAATCAAATAAAAATCCTCAACAATCAATCGCAATTAAAAGGTAATAATAATTACCCAGAGTCGCTTGAGAAGATCCTCTTTTCCCACCGGTGGTTTCATCGAGATCTTTGCTTTTCTTTTTACCCTTTTTACCCTTTTTACCACCGCTGTTACCGCGTTCACTAGAACCACCGCCAGATCTTGACCCAGAATTTGAGCCAACGGCTTGAGATGAATTGGCTGATGCCGCTGATGATAAGTTCCGTTTAGATGAGTGATAATTGTTACGCCGATAGTGAGAGAGATATTTCATACATTTAAAGAGACACGGGCGATTCTTGAAATCGTTTAAATTCATCTCTTTCGATGAGATCTTAAGGAAGCTAAAAAATGAGGTGAGATTCTCGATGGCGATCAGGTGACTTGCATCGGCTGCCATCGGTTTCTCCTTGTCAGGTAGAAAAAGTGATCTGTGTTTCTTTCGACGGCGAGAATGAGAATTCTTTGAACGGTGAATAGACGAATGGCTGAAGGTAAATTTGGGTGTAATGATTTTACCCTCAATTGAACCTTCTCGAGGAGAGATCGATGTTGTACCAGAGGTCGAAGGTGTTGTTAATGATATTACCGTTGATGAAGGTTCAGATGAACAAGTTGCTATCATCGTTGAGTCAAATGTTGATTTAGATGAAGACGAACCCGTTTTAGATGAGGATAATTTAGATGAGGAAGATACAGTTAGATTGGATGTCGATTTTGTTGTTGATTTAGTTGATGATGTTTTAGTTATCGAAGGAGTCGATGATGATGTTGCAGGAACATCACCTGATTTTGGAATAAAACATTGATTAAGCTCAAATTCATCTTCTTTTTCTGGTTGGAATTGATTATTTATTGAATCACGAATACTTCGAACTAAAAGTTCAAGATCATCTTCTTTCCGTTGAGATGTGGATGAAGTTATGACAACAGGAGCCTTTGTTGGTAACGTAGCCGCCGAGTTGCTGGATTCTGGTAGAGTTAATTTAGATTCAACATTCGCAGTGGTGGAAGATGAAGTTGATGAAGGAAATAGTGTCGAAAATGCTGATGAAGATGAAGACATGTCCAAAAGCATCTCCGTTAATTGGATCAACTCACTAGTCGATGATTTAATAGGAGATAATAAAGCTGCTTGAGATGGTGGTGCCGGCGGTGGTGGTGGTGGTGGTGGTGGCAGCGGAGGAATAGGAATTGGATCCGGTGAAAGAGTATGTGTTATATTTGATGGTTCAATTGACTCTTTTACTTTCATGATGGTTAATGACGATGATGATGTTGATTGTTGGTGTTTACAATTTTCCTCCTTGGATATTAATTTAGTTTGGATATTACTTTCAACTGTACTTGATTTACAAGTTGTAACACTCGAACTTTCCATTGTTGAAGGTACAACTTGATACTTCGAATCAACTTTATTTTTTGATCGAGTATTTTTCACTTTTATCTTGATCTTGATTGGCATTATTTTATTGTTATTATCCTCACCATTAACAACAACACCCGTGGTATTAATATTATTTACAATTGGATTTGATGTTGATTGGCGAGTTCGTGTTGATGTTGTAGTAACCGTTTGATGATTTAGATTAACTTGATGATCAAGCTGTGGATTAACAGGATTTTCAACAATTTGGGGATTAATGGGTAATTGTTGTTGTTTTTTGCTTTGATAGGTTTTTGATGATTTCGGTTTAACCGTTGTAAAAGTTGAACTTAAATCGGTTTCAAGGTTAATTCCAGAATTTTGGTTTGGCGATTCTCCCTGAGATTGCATCCCACTATCGGGAGAGGTGAGTTCCCTTAAAAGAGACACCGATGATGTCGATGTTGTCACCGGACCTGCCGGTAAATTTATCGTAGTATTAATATCAGTTTTTGTTGAACTTTTTAAACGACGATTGGTAAAATTTTGGCTACTAAATGTTTTACATTTTTCTTGTAATTTGGAGGTTAACTTTTCCGTACTTGAATTATTATTGTTACTATTATTGGTACTTTTAACGGTTGAGGTTAATTTGTTAAGAGATCGACTGGTTGAAGCTTCGTTCAGATTTAAATGCAAATTTGAACAAATTGCATCATCAGGTATTGAACGGGAAATTTTTTTACTATCAATCGAATTGAGTTCAGCTAATGATATTGAATTAATACTCGTATTTACAATGGTACCAGTTTTTTTCATCTTTTTCAGTTTCACTTTATTTTTAGGTCCACTTTTTAATTTATCACCAATCATCATTACTGAACCACAACCAATACCGACACCGACACTTTCAATGGTTTTCTTGCTATTAGCTTTCTTAACATGAGAGGATGATGATGATGTTGTTGTTGTTGCTGTCGTCGTCGTCGTCGTTGGTACTAATGTAAGATCAGCACAATCGGTTTGAACTTGTACTGCAACGGTTGCTGTTGATGGTTGAGTTTTCTTGGTTCTATTGTGTGAATTGGGCCCATTTGATGTTGTTTTAAGTGTTGTTACTGATGAAGATGGATTAGAATGGGTCATCTTTTGTCCAGAATTTTGTGCGGTCATAGAGTTTTGATTGACTAAAGAAGAAGGTGTATCACGATTTTGTAGATGAGGAATTCGGTAAGAACGAAGTCGCTGCCTCTCTTCGGCTGGATCACGAATCTTATTTGGTAAACCACCGCTGATAACACTAACTGATGGACTACAACTTCCACAAGAAACAGATGAAGGTCGAGAGATTGGCGTTTGAGGATTTAAATGCAACGAGTTGATAGAAAGATTTTTATCAATGGTTAAACTCCTTTTAATTGTTCTTGTCCGTGAACGTCTCCCTCTCGAACTAAGTGTCCTATTTGTTAAGGAGGAACTGCTACTACTACTATCACTATCTGACCCACTCGAGCTGTAGAAAGATAATAAAATAATTAGTAAAATTGATAATTTGTATAGAGAATTAGTAAAGATAACAAGGATATTGTTTATCGAATGAAATTATCTCCGTTAAAGTAGAGAAAAGCTAAGAAAATATTATCCAAATATAACCAAAGTCCATGTTTTGATTTACGATAATTTGCTCACCTGTATGAACCAGAACCAGATGATGAGCCACTGCTACTTTGGCTTCTTGAGCCACTTCGTGAACTAACACTTCTTGAACTGGAAACACTTCGGTTACTTCGACTGTGTGATCGACGACTACACGAGGAGCAACTACGACAGCTACGAGAGGATCGACTAAAATGTGAAGAGGAAGAGCTATCACAAGAATCTCCACTAGAACTACAACTTCGTGATGAGCAAACAGATGAACTACGATCACTTTGTTGACTGCCCGAGGAACTATTAGAAGAAACCATTGAGGAATCACTTTCATCTGCCGAGTCAGTACGATCGCTTCTACCAGTAGTTGTAGTACCAGTTTTAGTGACCGGTGTCTTCAGGTGGCCCTCATTTAACCGCATTTTCCTGTACCAGAAAATTTAGTCAACCAAAAGGTGAGAAGGGAAAAAAAAAATTTTCAATGGCGAATAAAAAAAGGAAAAAGATCAACCAGAATTTTGGAAGATTCTTTGTTGTTGTTGTTCTATTCTTCAGATAAAATCAGTTAAGCCTGATCATCGAGAAGAGAAGACCAGTAAAAAAAGAGATACATTTACACAGTAAGAAGCTGAAGCTGAACAACAAGAAGAAGAAAGAGAATCATAGTAAATAATGATAATAATAATAAGAAAAAAAAAGAAAAAATTAGAAAAAATTAGAAAGGAAAAAGACAGAGAAAGAAAGAGAAAAATAGATAACAAGTAACAAGAGTAGAAGAAAAAAAACAACACAAACAAGAGGAAGAAAAAAAAAGAGAGCGAGTCTCTTAACTTTCTCCTTTTTCCAATTGAATCATTTGTTAAAAAGAATAAATTTAAAATTCCAAATTGTTATTCTCAATTAGGTGAAGATGAATTATATTGGTTAACAGTCTTCTCGGTGATAATTATGATGGTGATGATTAAAAGATAATTAAAAATAGATAGACACCAATAAATAAATAGTAAGGAGTAGCAATCAAAGTAAACAATTATTTTCTTCTGTATATTAACCAAGGGCAACACCTCAACATCTTTCACTGAATAAGTGGTCCCTCAGAATGGGGGGAGAGTCGATTCGCCTTTCAAAAGAAAAGCGGTTCTTATGATTACATTTAATTTCTTACCTTTTATTTTAATTTTCTTTTTAATTACATAATTAATTTTGATTAAATTTCGTCATTAGTTTATGTTAGTTTGTATTAGTTTGTTCTCTGTTCAATTCTTCTCATCAACTGTTCGGATCATCTTGTTGTTTTTACTTTTCCTTTTTCTCTTGTTGACTTGTTGAGATTTTTTTCTTTCTACTTTTTGATAATCAATTGATTTTGTTTTTATTGTTCTTTTCTTTTTTTAATTGTGATTGGTTTGGGTTTTGTTTTTGCTTTAATTGGGTTAATTAGCTCTGTGTTTGTGTTTTGCTCTTTCTTTCGGGGTTTCTCTTTGTTTCTATCAGATTTTAGAGGTGACTCTTTTATCCTTTTGTCAATGTTTGTCATCATTTGTTTTCTTGTTGTTTTATTTAATTGTCATGGGAAATTTATGACTAATTAATTTCTTAAATTGTTGATTTAGAACAAATCCTTCTGGGGATTGATGGAGCTAATTGGACTTTCTCTCTTTTTTCTTTCTCTTTCGAAAATGTTATTTTGATGTTGTTTTAACACGTTGTTGAAATGATTTTGTTTCTCTCTTTTTTTCCTGGTAGAAATTATTAATTTATTGATTGTGATTTCGACTGATTCTTACAATCAAAGAGGCCAAAAGATTGAGACACAATTTTACTGGATAGTTGTAAGAGAATCCAGTGTAGTATTTACGGTTTGGGTTAACAAAGTAGTCAAATTTCCTTGAATTCCATCAGTTAGACTTTTAGATGGGATTGGACAATAAGGAGTTTTAACAATTATCACCATGGAAGAGATTAACATGGTAAACCAGATTATCCAGAAAGAGATGAAAAATGTAGCTCGTAATCTGACCCAGAATGGAGTTGAAGCCACTTCGAGTAATTTTTTCTTCGATAGAAAAACCATTTCCGATTCTTCTGGTCCATCTGATGTATCGAATTGAACACAAGGCAATTTGCTGGTGGTTTCCATTTTTAGAATCACGAAAATGTCGCCAACTAAGCAAAACGAGGTAACTAAATATTAATAAGAATAAGAACAATTAAGAAAATTGTAAAGAAAATTGACTCTTGATTGTTTTTCTCTTTTGTTAAAATGATTACAAGTAAAAAAAAACACTTACCTGAAGAGAGTGAAGATTATTAATTGTGAAGATGATTATGAAGAGTGAGAGAGATGAAGAGAGGGGATAAAGATAAAAAGAGAGATCTCTATGAGGAAATCGTTTCTATCTCTCTCATTATCTCTGTCTGACTCTCCCTTTTTCTCATCTTCTCATCCCAATATAGCTTATGCATTTTCCTTACGTTAATTACATCTTTCAAAGAGTATTGAGTCATCAGGGGTAAGGAGAGAGAGAGAGAAAGATAAACATGGATGAGAAATGAAAACAACAACATTAGAAGAAGTTGATTATCCATTAGCAATGATCATTTCCTATAATCAACTTACAGATTATATTAGATTTCCCACGACTGGATCATCTTTTTTGATTGATCAAACTGAAAAATATTAATCTCTCATATTTGTTTAGTAGAAAACAGAAGCAATTTCATTTCATATCAGATGATTAACATTAAATGGAAAACCAAACATGATCATAGTCATCATCTTCATCTTGTTGGACATTGATACAACCATTGGATCCATTAAGATTATCTTCATAATAAATTGTCATTTGGATGATGACAAACATTGGCAAAAACGGGAAGAAAAATAAAAGATCACCGGTTATCCAATTTGATTCCGATATAAAGATGAACCAAAATTAAATGGAATCTCCAAATCTCCAATGAAACCCAATGTTCCTCCAACCAACAGTTAACCAAACCAAACAAGGCGTTTCACTTCCGAATAGTTATTATAATTGTAATTGTAATTGTTTCCTCAATCATCGTTAATTAAATCTGTTGCAAGAAGAAGAGGAAAACTAATTCGACAATGTAAAACAATCGATATTAATCCAAACAATCACTTGGAAAGTAAATGATCAACTTGAACTTGATCTTGTTACTCAATTTGCTGGATTCTCATTGGTTCTCGGCGATTCTCACGTGATGTTGACAAAAAGGTTTTTCTTTTATTCAATCAAAAGATTTACTTTCATGTTGACTGTTGACTGTTGATTATCAAACTATATTTTCCTCATGTTTTATCTAATTAGTAAATTGTTTTTCTCCATAATCACAGAGATGAACACAATAATCACCTAGTTAAATGTAATTAACGTCGTAGTTTTCAATTAATTTTTTCCCTTCCATCTATAAACATTTACATCTTTATATCTGCTTTTTTTTTGGTTGCTACCTGTTGTTCATGTTTCTACTGTTAACAGTAATATTTAGTATAACCCTTATATTTATTAGTGAAATTTTCTCTCTCAATTGACACCATTTTCCTGTTGATCTGTTTTTTGAAAGAAAACTCAGTAATTCACTAAAAGCCTCAAATTCTATCATCTTTAACTCTACCCTTTTCTCTTTCTGTAAGGTGTCCTTCTGATTCATTCTACAGAGAATATTTTCTTTTTTGTATTTCTTTCTTTTTCTCTCTCTCTCTCTCTCTCTCATTCTATTTTTCCTTTTCTTCTTCTTTACTGGTGTTCAGTTTATTTTTTGTGTTCCCTTTTCTATCTCTCTATCTTTACCTTAAAAATACTGAAAGAAGTATAAAATATATTTAGATTTATATTTTGCCGAGTATGGAGAAACGGATTCCTATCAAATGGTGTACCAGGTTATCCTGGTCACAGTTTGTTGGACTGATTACGTCTTGTTACATTCTAATCTTTATGTTTATCATCTCACCTGTAAATTGTGTTGAAACCAAAGCTAGTTTAAATTTAACCACTTGTGTGTTAACAGTCAATAAAAATGTATATAATTTAAGTTCCTTGGTGAGAAATGATGGAGACCAACCTTGGCTGTTAAATACCCGGATGTCTAATGATCAATCTCAGCAAAATGTATTTATTAACCTGTGTCGTCCATTACCAAGTACATTACCTGCTTTACCTAATGGTGGTTGTCGAGATTCAGTTAACTCTTCTGTTTGTATGGTTAATATGATTGAAAATCAAACCACCTCATTTGGTGACTTTAATGATTTTAAGGTTACCTTTGATGATTCAATGGAGGCGATACATTTTATCATGAAGAATACAAATTTATCAACTGAAATTTACCTTCATTGTAATCCAAGCTCAAAAAATAGTCAACCCATTCTGATTAAACGAAGATCAAATCGATTTCTAATTGAATGGTATGATGCTGCTGCTTGTCCCAAAGCCGATGTCATTGGGGAAGATTGTTCAGTTTATGTTCCCAGTATTAGTAAGGTTTTTGATTTATCACCTTTAAAGAAACCCGGTGGTTATGATTTTCCTGAAGATGGTTATGATTATTTTATCAATGTTTGTGGTCCAGTTAATGCAACTGGATGTTCACCAAACTCTGGAATTTGTCACTACAGTAAAGATGGTAAAATGACCTATTCACTTGGACAATGGAATGATCAAGTTATCTATTCGGATGGTATAATTAAGCTTACCTATGGAGATGGTGATCCATATCGTAATGTTGAGAGGACACCTCGAGCTAGCGAAATCCTGTTTATCTGTAACAATTCAGCCGGTGAAGGAAAACCTGATTTCATCAAGGAATCAAATCGTACTTACATTATCCATTGGGAAACTAAATATGCTTGTCCCAAGATGACTCATAATGTTGATTGTATTTGGCAAAATTCAACTCATCGTATTGATTTAACTCCTTTCAGTAAATCTGAGGGTAACTTTTTGGTTCCTTTGAAAAAGGGTTTTGTTGTCATTAATGCTTGTAGTCCAGTTAACCCTAGACTTCATCGTTTACCCCAATGTCCATATTCAAGTGGAGCTTGTTTCATTCCTACTGATCATGAAGGAGCAGCAACAAAAAGTCGAAACTTGGGTCAACCAAAGACACCACCAAGATTACTGTTTAACAATCAAATTAGTCTTCTTTACACTGATGGTGACACTTGCCCTTCAGATCCATCTAAACCCTATGTTACCTACATAACCTTTTCTTGTGATCGTAATGTTGGTGAAGGTTCACCCAGTTTACTAAGTGAAGATGATCTGCAAAACTGTGAATGGCTATTTGAATGGAAAACAAGTCTAGTCTGTCAACCTCGTCCAATTTACAGTCATCAATGTATCTTTGAAGATCAACTTAACAAATTGAAAGTCGATTTAACCCAAGTTTTTTCATCACTTCCACCGATCTCTGAACAAAATAACTCAACAATCAAATCATTTTTCATTAACGTTTGCTCTGTTGGTTCAGGCAAAGATTACAAAGAAATGACAATCTCTAAAATGTGTTCCAATTCATCATTATGTGTAGAGGAGACTCTTATTGGTGGTAATTCAAGTCCACGATATTTAAGCTTAGGAAATCTTCAAACTAATAATAGTGAATATTTTTTCCAAGGTGAATCTTTAATTTTACGATTTTTCAATGGATCCTTTTGTGATGGTGATAGAACCTGGTCATCTGAAATTGATATTCGATGTTCATCCAATCGAAAGACAACCTTTGTCCGTAGAGAAACCGATAAATGTATTCACAAGATTTTCCTTGAATCAGCACTTGTCTGTGGTCTAAAACCTCCCAGTTGTACCTATCGTTTTAATAATTCAATTATTGATCTTCGAGAATTGTCATCACTAACTCATGCCTGGAAAACAAATGCCGCTCCGGTAGATAAAGTTTACTACTTTAACTTGTGTAATAAGATTCCAAAGGATCACCATGCATTTGATGGTTACAGTTCTGTGGTTGAATGTGATCTTATAGACGGTGTTGAACATTGTGGTCATCCATTGGGACAGAAAGATTTGATGACCATGTCAATGGAGTACGATTCAGATCAGACGAAACAAAATCTTGTGATTACCTATGCACACGATAAAACGGACGTTTGTACTCATACTGATTCGGTTACAACTAAGATTAAACTTATCTGCAGTTCAATTTATCGTGATCCAAAGTTCACTCGAAAGGTTGACAATTTTACTCATTGTGAATATCATTTTGAATGGGAAACATATCTTGCCTGTTTTGATCATGAACCAGAACGAAAGGAACGTAAATTAATTCGTAATGGTAATTATTTCATCGATAAAAGGCCTGACCTCGAAATTAACATGGCAATTAATATGAGTGAAATTTTCCATACCCATCACACTGTAACTGATGGAAAATATAATTACACAATTAATCTTACTGGTAAAAATGATAATTCAAAAGGAAATTGTAAAAATGCAGCCATTTGTCAGAGAGAAATCAATGGTACACTTGAACGTGACATTGGCTCTCTTGAAACCGAGATGATGGTTACCCAAGGAACCAAAATGAAGCTCAAATTAACGGCAAATAATCATCAAAAATGTGGTAAAAATGCTCGTAAAAATGTAACCTCAACAATATTCTTTCAATGTAGTAGTGCCGAATCGGGTATTGGTTCACCTCGATTCTTTTACGAATCAAATGATTGCGATTACATTTTCATCTGGGACACATCAATGGTTTGTTCAGGTAAAATGTTGTCCACTGATTTCATTGCCAAACTAGAAGAGTCATCAGTAAACTCTGAGTCCAATTTCTTTGGACGAAACGGTTCATCGACAGCATCTCTATTTGGTGCTTTTCTTCTAGTAATTTGTGTTATGATTTTCGCCGTGGGTCCATTGGCTTGGGTTGCATTCCGTCTAAGTGATCGAGAAAAAAGGTTGGTTCCCCCATGAATTTCCTAGAATCCTTTAGTTGATCCATTTTTATTCAATACGAACCCAAAAAAATTCGAGCCATTAGTCACACAATTTTTTCTTTTTCTATTCCATTCTCTCTCTCTCTTTCTACCTCTTACATTATCTTTCATTTTCTAACAGGAATTATCTAGTCCATTGGATCCGAAGCAAATTCCGGGCTCCGGTAATCACATCGTTCCACTATTCTCAAGTTTCGTCCGATTCCACAAAATTAGTTTCCATAAATGATGATCTTTAGTCCAAGAGAGAAGAAGGTGTCGAAGAAGAAAAAGAAAAACAAAGAATTTTAAATTTCAAGTGGAAACGTTTTTATAAGCGAAAAAAAGAAAAAGTTAAATTTCTGTGTAAAAAAAGTCAAAAACTTATTTTCTAAAAGACTGTTAGCATTTTGGGTTGATAGAAAAACGATAATGTCATAGAAAAGGATCATTTCTCCTATTCTATTTCTTTCTTTTCTTCCAATCAAATCCACCAACTTTCCACATACACCACCACCGCCACTTCCACTTTTCCACCTTAATCAAAATTCAACCACCAAGAACAAAAATCAACCATATCTCTCATTCAATTACGAGAATGAGAAACAACCTCATCCAAAAAAAAAACACCAACCAACAAACATAACAAATCTAATTGTTCTCTATTATGTTATTGTAAATTAAACTTCGAATTATCTTTTTTTCACAATCATTCTTCCTATTTAATTGTCGTGTTAATTATTCACTCAACTGGTTGGAAATATTGAATTTCCTTTGGTTGTTTTATTGGTTAAACAAACGAAATCAAATTACAACTCCGAGTTTGTAATTAACAATTAATGTTTTTTCTCTCTCATTTAATTGCTCTTTTCATGTGAGAGCAATGGAAACAATTTAAACAACAATTTGTTGTCAACAATTAAAGGTATTAACAAGCTGTAAATGATTAGTTTGTTTTTTCCTTTTTAATTATAGATGATTAATAAATTGCTCTTGAACTTTTCCTTTACTGATCAGCTGAATATATGGAAAAATTTTCATCTCCAATTGTGATAACAATTAATTTGTCTGAATGTATTGTTGATTTTTGATTGTTGATTGGTGATCATTTAATCCAACTATTGACAAGTAATAACAAAATTATGTTTTCATTAATGAGACGTTAATTGTCAGCAATTTAAATGATTTAATGATTCACTTACCTTTGAGTAAACTAATTAATCCATAAAAACAAACACAATCTGATTGTTATTGTTTTTTGATTGTAAGGTTAATGCCCCATGTCATTAATAGTTAGTTAATCATCTTAATCATAACTGATTAGCTTTTAGAAACAAAAAATCTAATCAATTGTTTCAATTATCATCTTAATTGTTGTTACCTTGAAGAAAAAAAGGGAAAATCGATTAAGAGAAAAAAAATTATCTCTTTTTTTTGTTCGTCTTAATTGTTGTAAGAACGGAAAAGGTTAATTGTGATCAATTAGAGTCAAGGGTTAAAAGATCATCAAAGGTTCGTAATTGTTACTATTTGACCTTTGGCAGGTCAAATTCACATAGAAAACAAGGTCAAAACGATTTGTTTTTGTTTCTAAATGGCATTTATTTTATTTCTTATTCATTTGTAACGGTATTTAAATTTTGATTTATTATTAATATGATTTAAATTTAAATTGTTTTCTTTTTGATTATTCATTGATTAATATAAGCTAATGTTTTTGTTTATGATAAACTTTAGCAAGATTTTGAAATGATCCTTGCAAAAAGAGTCCTAGTGGAAAAAGGTTTTCAATTACAGTTTTGTTTTACGAAATTGTCGACATAAAGTGGAAACGATTAACTTAATTGTTATTGTTATTTTGGCAGAAAAAAAGGTTTCCTTTTTGTTGTTGAGATTTTGATTGTTAGATATTTAATTGTTTTTATCTTTAGGTTATTCGTTTTTGCTTTCACTACGTTTCTCCTCTTCAATGGTTCAGGTTTTTTTTTGTTTTACTCTTGTTTCATGATTAACTGCATTTGATTGATTTTGTTGTTTTTGATTGTTGATTGGTTTTCTCATCTTGATTTGGTTTTTTCCCCATGGATTTTTACTTGGATGAAGTAACAATTGTGTCAACAATGTTTTCATTTTATTGATGATGATTGTTATTGTTAAGCATAATAGTTTGGTGAAACAAGTAAATCAGTGATTATCGCTAATTGATCTTCATTGAATTTTTCTTTATGTTGACGCCAATTATCATGATGTGTCCTCTTGAAATCAGAAAGAGTTTTTCTAATTGTTGTCTAAATTGTTATGAGGGAAGGAAAACAAAACCCAAAAAAAATTGTTAGATCGTCATAACTAATTATATAATAGTAATTATATTATATAACTTACTGGAATTGGTTGGGGATCGTGAAGATGGTCACTTAGAAACATGAGTATATCCGGAAGGAATTCCGGAACATCATAAGGATAAGCGCTAACAATTGAACATAAACCTAATGCTCCTCCATGTTTTTCATTTAACTCGTTGCTATCATAACTATAATTAAGTGTACTTTTAGTTAATTTACGAGCGCATTTAGTTTTAAATTGGTTGATTAAATGTTTATCAATTTTTATGAATTGATAATGGATAAGACCACCAAGAAGACCAGCAGCTTTTTCACGAACTTCCAATCGATCATCTTGTAATAGATCAATAATCATATCGGAGACAATTTTATTGCGAGTACGGTCATTCATCAAGGTGAACAAATTCGAGGAAACCATACATTGGATAAATATGACAACAGAAACTCGTGTATGCCATGATTTACTTCCAGTCATCTGTTAATGAGAAATGAAAATTTAATCATCAAGTAAAAGTTGATCAATTAACTGTTGTGTTACCTTTTTGCATATCTCTAAAGCTGAATCAATATATTTCTCATTAATTGAACATTGTCCGATTGAGTTTAATGCTTCATTTGCACAGGCGGTTAGATCATCGTCCTTTGAACGATTTTTGATTTCACTTATCTAAAATAAGGATAAAAGGAAAATTATTTACATTTAATTAGCTGGTTAAATATAATTGCTAATCAATTAACTTACAATAGGCACAAGTTGAAGAATCTGTGGTCTAGTGATATGTGGATTAAGTGAAAGATGAGGATGAAGCCAATAGCAAAGAGTTGCTAGTAAATTACACGATTCTTTTTCTACATCTTCAATTGAGTTTCCACTGGAATCAACTACTACCATTGGTGAGGATGCAGAGGAAGACGGAGATGATGAATGTGATGATTCAATTGATTCCATTTGGGAAACAGAGGAGGAGGAAGGGAAACCTTTAGAAAGACGGGGATCATTGATTGAAGCTCCTTCCAATTCAGGGAGGACACTGGTCAGTAGCTCTTCAATTTTGGGTGCTAAGGCTAATGGTTTAGCAGTTGAATTGAAAAAATCATTATCAAATTGTAATAATTGAGTTAATGAGCAACCAATTAACTGGCGTATATTTTGATATGGATTTTTAAGATGATTATGTTGCAATAAATGGTCAAATAGGCGTCGTAGATAAGGCATCGCTCGCCAACATTGACTAATGAGCAGATCACTGAGCATTTTTAAACGGGAAAATGACTGGAATGCAGTGGCCGTTGTATCACTTGAACTAAGAGGATCTTCGAGAAGATAACGGAATAACCAAGAGTATCGACGACCATCCAATCGTCGGAAACCAAAGACACAAAATTCAACATAGATTTCAGTTGTTTCTCTTGAAATGATTTTCAATACTTTTTTCAGAATTGGTTCAAGAAGGCCACGTAAAGTGATCATATCTTTGTAAGGCCAATATTTTGATCCTCTAACCAAACCCGTGAGAACGTCACAGCCACATTTATGTACATTTTCTTTTGTTTCGGTGGTCATATTTTCAAAGAAATCACGGAAAACATCAATTGTGGTAACCCCAAAGTTACGGAATAATCCTTGGAATATCTTAAATCTTCGAGGTCCAAGGAGACTGGTCTTTTTATCGTCAAGTGTAATAAAATCGAGCAGTTTAGTGACTTTTACCTTGTCGAGGAAAAACTCAAGGATCACAGCTTCTTCGGGACTGACAGAGTCGAGGTTACGAGCTTGAAAAGCTGAAGCCTCGGTGTAATATTTAATTCCCTCTGTGGGTGAATATGTTGGAGAGATAAAGGTTCGATTGACCCATTTTGTTTCATTCCAAATGTTTTCATCCATATAATCAATATCGGGGTTGAAGTAAAGCCAATCATATTCAGTAGATTGTTCGGCTTTCATATTAACTGGAACATGTTCAAACTTAATTTCCGGTTTGTGTTGACGTAAAATCGCAGCAACTCCATTGATACAAATTCGTCGGATTGAAATATGATCGTTGATTAAGTTTTTAACAATTATTCGTACACCTTCAATAGGGAATTTAATATCTTTACGAATCAACGATTGAAGAAGTAGAAAAGCAAATTGAAGATGACGCCAATGAAGTTGACCTGTTTCGATTGAATCTACCAATTTATGGACAAAATATACATACAAATCGTGCTTAGATTGATTGGCAATGTCACAGGCGATCTTTCCCTTTTCAATGGTCTCTTCATCAGGAGGTTTAGTGTCAGGAATAATTCCAGTGGTGAACAGTTGTTTGCCGATTTCATGTAGTTCAGGGGGAATTTTATATTCGATGAGCAAAGGTTGTAATTTGTTCGCCGCCTGTTTGGTAAGTTGTTCCAATAGAGCGATGATGGCTGGTTTTTCAGAGTAATCGGTGTTAATTAGCGCCAACCATAAAGGTACAATGCATTCCCAGTCAGAAACATTTAAGAAAGCGCCCGAATGATGACTGAGGAGAATTGTCAAAGCTCCTTGAATTTCTTCAGTCTCTCCGGTTCGTGGTTTATTGAACACTCTTGTCAACTCGGAAGCTACTAATCGATAACCAAATGGATGTTTAAATTGGAGCAAAGCGTTGTGAGCTTTAGCTCGAACGTCAGAATAATGACTCAAGGCGAGAGAAATAATATCAAGAACAATATCATGATGAAGTTTAGTGAATTTTCCCCACTTTTTCAAAGAGATTCTCGTCTAAAAAGTAAATAGAAAGAGTAAAATTTAGAAAAATATATAAAGAAATAAGTTTTACATTTAAAATCGTTTTAATTACCTCATGTTGCATTCCGATTCGTTCAATGATAATTCGTCTGGGTAATCGTTTAATTCCCATTAGTTTGTTTTTCAAATTGTTTTTAACTGTATTGTAATATTCACGAGACGATTTCATTGATCGTGAAGATTTTGTCCAACCCATAACACATTGAAAAATCCTAATGATAAGATCCAACGATTTAGTATCATCTGAACAGTTTGCAATGACATGCTTTAAAATGGTTCGATTAGATTCAGCAACTAATTGACGGGGATTAGCTCCAGACGAAAGGTGAACAGTTTTGGTACCAATTTCATGAACTCGTTCACTCAAAGGGGGAACTGTGGTGTCAAGGATAAAATATTCTTCACTGTCAAAAAGAGGTAATACCACAGATGAACCAGCGACACAAAAAAGTACAATGTTAAGACTTCGGTGAACCTCTTCACGGGTTAACGTTAGTTCATTGTTGGTCCATTTAATGAGAGATTGTATTTCAGGGGTTAAGAATTCATCCAAAAGTTTCTGAGTCAGTTTGATCTCCTTATCCGAAGGCACATACCAATCGAAAGTGATATCTTCCGTTTTATCATGTTTACCCCATAATCGGATTGGGTTGATTTTTGTGAAATCGGACAATTGTTCCCATGAAAGGCTAAAGGTGGTTTTTGGATTAGGATAGACCGTAGTCAAACTTTCGAGGCAATTTTTCAATAAAACGGCAGCCGATTTGTAACCTTGACTAGGTTTTAATCTAAGGCCTCGTCTAATTATGTCAAATATTTTCTCAGAATGTTCATCAAGGCAAGTTCCTTCAACTATAATTTCAGAGGTAATTTGTAAGGCTAAGATAAGCTGTACATCAACTGATTCCTCTTCAAAAACATCCTCATTATCGGTTAATCCAAGAATAGTTGAATGAAGATAAGGCAAAAATTTTTCAAGAACTGTCCTGGGATTGGCCTGAAAATGTAAAAAAAAAATTCAATCAATTAGTATTTTATATTGAATCTTGGATATTGTGAAATGACTTACTCTGGCAAATAGACCACAAACTGTGGTCATCATTTTTATTGTCGATCTAGATTCGAAGAGTCGACCTCGCAAGAAAATGAACAATTTATCCAAAGCTTTTTCAAAGATTTGTGGTGACGAGTATATTAGAACCATAGATAAAGCAAAAACCATTGACGATTCAAAATAAGATTCATCTGAACTCTGTTTAACTGGATCATTGTCAATTTTTTCTGGCCGGTGTTCTGGTGCGTAATTTTCAACAAGACTTAACACTTTCTCCAAAAAGATCAGGACAAATTCCTCGAATCGAGCAGTTTCAAGAGCAATGTTGTATTCAGCTTCTGTTAAATCGTTTCTTATATCAACCATTGCTGAACAATCCATTATGGGTACAGAGTCAACGAGATGTGAAATTAGTCCACAAGTATTACCACACTTTTTGATATCATTACAATCAAGACCGGGAAGAGAGGCAAAGAGTAAACTTATCAAGTGTGTTTTACCCTCATCATAACGGCCAAGACCATCAACCATAACGGGAGCCACCATGTATAAGGTAGACATTAGAGAATTAAGTCGATGAGCTTCTAAATTAGAATCCAAAGCGATATAAAGTTTCTCAACTAGAGGTGGTATCACTTTTTCTGGCCGAAGCCAGGCCAAATCACGAATAGAGGTAAAAATACTTTGAGTTCCAAAACGTGAAAACATTGCCGTCAATAGAATAGGTTGAAGAACATCAACAAATTTATCGATCTCTTCTTCGGTGATTTGATATTCTTTAGGTGTTTTAAATTCCCAAGTTTTCTTACGATATCGTTCCTTATATATACGTAAGATAAAAGCTGATGATAACTTGGACAATATATTAGTTAACTGTGAGCTCCATCGGGACATGTTACTGGGATGAAAATTAGATTCAACGGCTTTGAAAAGAGCCTCAATATATTCTAGTGCTTTTGATTGAGGTCCACCAATCATTGAGACAATCCAGTTAACCAATGGAGTACAATCAGTTGTAAGAGCAAGAATAGCCAAAGGAGATTGATTAACTGAATTGTTCATCGCTTTGGTATATTTGGTGAAAATGGTTGACATATAAGGTGACCAGTCAATGTAACCAATATTATGTGTTGCCAAACGTGACAATAGTTTAAAGAAAATATTCTCATATTGAATAGCATTGGGTCCCGACCATAATTGTAAAATTTCATCAAACCAAAGTTTATAACCTTTCTCATGATCTTCTGGGTACATTTGAGTGGGTAAAAAAAGTCCTAATAAGAAAGAGCATCGGAATATTTTACATGCAGTGAAAGGACATTGAACCGGACGAATTTCTTCAAGAATTTCTCGAGTTGCTTCAACCGAAAAATAATTCCTAGCAACATCTATAAGGACACGAAGATTTGACTCGAAACCATAAGATTGACCCATTTGGAAGAGATTTTTCCTCTCGAAAATGTACTTGCAGTAAATATCGTAAAGAGGACGCCATTCAATTGTCAACTCTTTAGGTGATATTAAACGTTTTTTCCTAAGAAAATTGGATTAGAGAGAGAAAAGAAAAGAAAATAGATTAAAGATATTGAATGGGAAAGGGTTGATTCTTTAATTAACTCTTAATCAAGATGAACTCGACTAATAAGAGTAACGAAAGGTTTTATCTGGTTGTGTAGAAAAATAGAAGATAATTTTGATTTTGTTTCATCTTCATCCATAGATTGAATCAGTCGATAAAAGATTAAAACATTAGCAACAGATTGAAGCTGCGTGATGATATTAATAGAGTTGAAGAATTAAAAAAAAATGGATTTAAATTTACCTTAAAAGTGAATTTAAAATGTAAATTATACCAGTTAGAGATGACATTTCAATTCCAGGTATTTGCATGATTTGAAGGAAAGTTTTAATCAACAGAATATGATCTTCTTTAGTGAAATAGTGACCATAAAGAGTGATGTAATTTTTCACTTCGATTATATCAGCTTTGCTTGCAGAGAGAGTAATCATTTTTCCCAGGCTTAATTTGATCTCTTTGAAATAATTAGTTGCCTCTAATTGTAAGGATGAAGAATAAGGTAACTTCGAGTTGTAGACATTGTAAGACTGAGCTGGTTGACCAGAGATTATACGATTCACTTTGGTTACCATTCCACATTCTGTACTATCATCAGAATCATCGATTGGAGAATCTACCATGAAAGCACTGATTAGTGGTGTTATATCACTTAGATCCATCTTGACCACTATTATCTATAGATAATAGTATATGAAGTGAGTGACCACTTGTTAGAGTTTCACCTTAACTTGTGTGGTGAGAGAACAGGTAGATACTTGTTACAAAGGACCAGAATTTTATCGCCTAGATATGGATAATTTTCGATGGAGAGAAAGACAAAAGATTAACAATAAAAATTGGAAAAGTACAAACGTGAAGTCGATATGATAGAATAACAAAAAAAAAAGATGAAGAATGAGAAGAGAAAAATATAAACGAAATGAAAAGCCACCAACCACCAGAAAGCGTAGGTGAGAATTAGAATCTTAGAAATAGGAAAACTTTGATATGATAGTAGGATAATCACAGGTCACGGTTGAAAGGTAACTTTTTTCGCCGATTTTTTTTTCTCAACGAACAAAAAAAAATCAAAAGATGTATGGATAGAAATAGAGAAGCAAATAACTGTGAAGATCCCCAACGTGATAGTCACCTTGTTCCAAGTTAACAGTGTTACCACTACTTTAACGGCTCCTTCTCGTAAAAGGGGTAATTGTTATACCCCAATTTTGTTATTCCGAAAATCAAATTGAATGTAGTAAATTTGAAAATATTAACATTCAATTGTTGAGTTTTCTTCAAATCAGCTCAGTTTTGTCTTTTAAGGTTAATCGATATTGTAGGATATGTACTTTTGGTTGCACAATTGAGAAACAATGATGAAGATGGCGAAAATCTAAAAATGCAAAAATTGAAAGAAAATAGAATTGAAACAATTAATTAATCACAATTTAAGTGAAAAACCAAAGAAGATTACAATTTGTCAGTCATTCTTACATTTAATGTTGTCTAATCATTTACCATTCTTTGGGTATGCGTAAACTTTAATCACGTGATGATTGTCCATATGTTAATTGTAGCGCGTTATTTGTGTTAACTGGTTAACAAAGAATTAAAAAAAAATTAACATTAATTAACTACAATTAAGATGAACTGTAAAAATTGGACGAAACTTTGATCAACACCATTTGGAAGAGTCAACAAAAAAATACCAAAGGGTCGACTCATCAAAGAGTAACAATAAGCTGTTACTCTTTGACTTCGACTCAGTCGATTTGATTGCGACTCATCGACTGAATCGACTGACTTTGGATTCTAATTGTTTTGCTTAAACATAAAAATGTTTCTCTTGGTGATTGTTGATTTCGTTTAATTTTCTCTCTCGTTTTGTTTTTCTTTCTCTAATTAATTTCTATTTCCATTTTGATTATTGTTCTTTTCTATTTAAATTAACTATTAATTGTTCACCTTCTCGTATTACAGTTTATTTGTAGAATCAAATCTCTGTTTCAAGGATCTTTTTTCTTTATCTTTTCTTTGTGGTTCTTTTTTTGATTGTGATTATTTCTTTTTCATCAATTAATTATTTTTCCTTTTGTGTAAATAACCTAATTAAGTTAATTGTTAATCACTATGGCATCTCGACATCTTCTTAATCGGTGTTACACTTTGGTTGATAAAACGTCTCTTGGTCAACGAGTTGGAAGTTTATTTGGATGTCAACAGAGGCGATTCATTGATTTACAAGAGTATCAGAGTAAAAAGATCATGTCTGAAAATGGATTAACTGTTCAAAGATTTAAGGTTGTTGATTCAATGGATAATGCTGATTCTAATTTAAATGATTTTGTCTGTTCCGAGTATGTGATTAAAGCACAAGTATTGGCCGGTGGACGAGGTAAAGGTTATTTCAAGAAATCTGGGATGAAAGGTGGTGTTAAATTGACCAAAGACAAGAATGAAATTTTACCTTTGGTGAAAAATATGCTCAATGATCACCTGGTAACAGCTCAAACTACTCAGGAAGGTGCATTAGTCCGTAAAGTTATGGTCGCCGAAGCTTTGGACATTGATAAAGAATATTATGTTGCCATATTATTGGATCGAGCATCGGGTGGACCTGTTCTGGTAACTTCTCCGTTTGGAGGTGTTAATATTGAAGAAGTCGCGGAAAAAAACCCAGAGGCCATTCACAAATATCCATTACCTTTAACCGATAATCAAGAATTGGACTCAGCTTATCTTAAACATATCGCCAAAAATGGTTTAGGTAAGAGAAGGAGGAAAAAAGTCTACAATCATTTTGACCATTAAACTTCAGGGAAAAACTAGAGATTTTATCATTTATCTTCATCACCATTGGTTATAATTTTTTCATTCTCATTTCCTCTTTGTATCTCATTACGAAAATTGTACAATTGTCTCGATTGTTGCAATTTATTTGCTGTTATTTTTGTCTCAACTAATTTGAATCATTTGTTTTCTCTTACATTTTCCAGGCTTGACTGACCAAGACGTTATTGACAAGGCTGCCAAAGAAATTTCCAATCTATTTAAGCTTTTTGTCAACATTGATGCAACTCAGATTGAAATTAATCCACTTGGATTAACACCCGATAAGAAAGTTGTTTGTTTTGATGCGAAAATACAGTTTGATGAGAACGCATCTTTCCGACAGGGTTGGGTAAAAAGTTTGGAACAAGAAAATTTAGACAAAGAGGATCCTCGCCAAGTATTAGCTAAAAAGTATAACCTTAATTTTGTCGCCATGGATGGTAACATTGGCTGTTTCGTCAATGGTGCTGGACTGGCGATGGCAACAATGGATATTATTCACCATCATGGTGGTTCACCGGCAAATTTTCTCGACGTTGGTGGTGGAGTGACCCAAGATGGAGTAGAGAAAGCTTTCCGTATTATCACCCAAGATCCTAAAGTAAAAGTTATCCTGGTCAATATTTTCGGTGGGATTGTTAATTGTGAAACAGTTGCCGCTGGTTTAATTGCTGCTCATCATTTAGTTAGTGTGCCATTAATTGTACGCCTTGAAGGAACCAATCAAAAATCCGCCATGAAAATGTTAGAAACCGTTCCAAGTATATTGACTGCCTCCGATTTAGACGATGCCGCCAAAAAGGCCGTTAAAGCCGCTTCGACTGCGATCTAAGAGTCAAAAAACATTCTCTTTCTTTCCATATTCATTTTTCCACTTATATCATTTTAATCCAGTGGAAGGAAAGAAAGAAATCATCAAATCAACTTATCCTAATCGACTAAATTTAGCACCACATATATACGAACTTAATCAAGCGATATCTTCGTGCTCTTGTTTTTTTTTAATTATTTGTATCTTGGATAAGCCAGAGAATGGAAGATAATTGGAATGGAAAAAAAAATTCTACAACCGGACTGTCGATTATGTGACCATTTAGACTGACAATCACAATTAACGATGAACAACAAATCAACTTTTCCCGATAACTATTTTGATTACATTGTTTGTTACACTTAAATTGTGTAGATAATCAATCAAACCTTAGCAGAGCTTAATTACAAACCTTAATTAACAAGTAACTATGTTAATTATTGGTATTAAAAACGTTATAAAGGGCAAATAATAGTAGGTGAAACATTTAATTGTTAAATTTACTTTTTAATTGTCAATATAATATTTTGCTTCTCTAACTTGTCAATATTAGTAGTGCATCAATTTACCTGTGTACAAAATAACAGGTAAATTAAGAGGACGGTGGGAGTGGGGAGGGTTTGATGATCGAGTGGGAATAAGTTAAAAATAACAGTTAATCATTTGAATAACATGATAATTTATGAATTAAAAATAGTTCAAAAAGGGAACTAATTTTGTTGATTTTCAAACAGAGAGAATCAATAAGATTGAACTAATTGGGTTAATTAAACTACAATCAATTTGATTAATCATTGGACTAGGATAAAGACGTTTAAATTGTTTGATTGAAATTGAATTTGGTGATATTATTTATAATATGGTGTAAATTGTTATATACTTTTTGTTTGTTGGAATGTGAGTTTTGATTAATCCATTTGGTGTTATGATTAGTTAATTGTGAATAATTTACAAATTAAAAGGCAACAATTCAAGTTCACAATCAAGATTGGAAATTGTGTTAAACAATTAAATCAAAAAAAAAGTGAAAAAAATTCATCATCTAACTTGAGTCCTATTACAATTAATGTGAGATCAAAGATAATTACAGAAAGAAAAGTGATTAAAATAGTTAACAATTAAAAAAAACAAGAAGAAAACAATTAAATCATATAAAAAGATCTTGGTGGTTAATAACAATTAATTGAGTTTCTTCATTGATTGATTAATATTTTTAGAAAAAAGCAAAAATATCTTGAAGTCACATTGGACTTGGATCTTGTTTTTTTTTGTCTGAATTAGTTGATTGTTGTTTTAGAGAAAATAATTAACAAAAAAAATCGGAAGTTGATTAAAATTAATCGTTGAGAGTTCCAGAGCTTACAATGTAAGTAGATGAAATTAACTAATTGTAGATCAGTAATTAGTTAATTTGTGTAATTGTCGATGAAGTTTTCTGGTGTTTTTGTCAATTCTCATTGATTGATTATTGTGTAACAAGAGCACAAATAAACAAAAACAACAACAACAAATCAAACAGATGAGATTCCAGCATCATAATCAGCAATAAATATAATTATCATCATGATCATCATCCATCATCATCATGGAAGGCATTGTGATTGTACCAGGATGAAGATGCTGATCAAAGCAGAAAAAAGTTCTGGACATTTTTTTTATAAATCCAGTGAGTTGATGTTTTTTTTTGGAAAGTATTGATAATGTTCATTGTGATCATAATTCAGTTTCTCCTCATTGTCATTGATTAATCATCATCATGACCATGGTCAAAGAAAGAAGATGAAGATAAGGAAGAGAAAGTAATGGAAAGACTAGAAAAAAAAGATTCCAAATGAATTTCTATCGAATCGAATCGTTTTTTTTTTCTCTCCACAAAATTTGACAGAGAGAAGAAATTAAAATATTCCAATTCTAATGGTTGTCTCTTTGGTGCTCATCTGATTAATCAAAATATTGCCTTAATTGTTGAGTGTTTTCTTCTTTGGTGTAAGTGAATAGTAATTGTAATAAGTAGTATTCGGTAAATGGGAGCAGTTGTAATGATTCAAGCGATAAATTGTCAGTTAATAGTTGATTGTATCTCTTAATCCAACGATAGTTTAAATCGATAAGTTGTAGAAAATGGTGAATTTTGATTGTTGAGTTTTTCCTTCAAATGTGTTGAATAAATTCTGGATTAAGATAAGAGAAACCAGCGAATTCAGTTTGATCCAAATTCATCATGAACAATTTATCGGTCGGTGTAAGATCAGTTTTCTCAGAAGTAAATTGCTTATCGAAATTGGAAACGTCCTTTCGATGTTTAATCTTGGGCTTAAATGGAGGTTGAACCTCTCGAGCGGTTATTTTTTCCCAATCAATACGACGGAAAAATGGATGCATCCGAATGTCCTCCTCCCCGCTGGAACCACAGCCCAATCGTTTCGAAGGGTTTTTGGTAAGAAATCCTTTGCAAACATCTTTGGCCTCCTTGGAAAGGCTTTTAGGATAAGAGGCATTGTGATCAGTGATCGCGGCAAACAATTCCTCCTCGTCTTCCCCGTCAAACGGAGGTTGACCGACCAACATTTCGTAAAGTAAAACCCCATAAGCCCACCAGTCAACCGATTTACCGTAAGGTTGATAGAGGATAATTTCGGGTGCAATATAGTCCGGTGTACCACAGAAAGTTTTGGTAGTTCGGTCGTTGTAAATGTTTTCCTTGCACATACCGAAATCGGCAATTTTAATATGTCCCTCTTGATCAAGTAAAACATTATCCAATTTAAGATCTCGATAGATAACACCTCGTGAATGAAGATAAAATAAACCGATAGCAATTTCAGCGGCATAAAAAACGGCCACTGGTTCTTTAAATTTTCCCGTTTGTTGAATTTGAAACATTAGATCACCACCGTTAACATATTCCATGACGAAATAAAGTCGATCCATTGTTTGGAAGCAAGAGTGAAGCTGAACAAGGAACGGAGGTTTCTCGGAAAGGGCGAGAATCCGTTTCTCCACCATGGCACATTCGACATCATCATCTTGAATGATTATATCTTTTTTCAATATTTTCACTGCATAAAGTTCATCGGTTCCCTTTCTCTCAGCTAACATTACCTTTCCAAATGAGCCTTTACCAAGAACCATGATGAAATTAAAATCTGACGCTCTGATAACATCCTGTTTCCCCATGTTATGAGGTAATTCACACGTGAATCGAGCATCTAAACCCTCGAGACCTGCTCGTGATAAAGAACGTGTTCCCGATATCACACCCGCTGGAGAGGTTAATGAAGGTGTTGTTGAACCACCAAGTGACGGTGGTGGTGGTGTAGGTGCAAGGGAAGATGAGAATCCGGTTCTCTGTTGTCGAGTTATCTCTAAAATATCTGCATCCGGTGGTGGAACCGGAACATTATAATATTCACCTTCCTCTTGGGTTAACAATTTAAACCAACCTTCAACCGGACGTTTCATTAACTCTGATATACCAAATGAAAGGGAGCCCATGAAATCATTTCGAGAGGTACGATCCCAGTCCCAGACTTCAATTAGTAAACGACGATCTTTATCATCGGGTTTTAGGTCAAAAACTAAAGTCTCATGAAATTGAGGGTTAAGATTTGCTTTGATGGTTCGAGTTTTCCGTTTTATACCTTCCCCGCCATCGGGAATAATTTTACACTTTACATAAGGATCGGAAAGTCCATTCGGATCCATGGGAAGTAAATTTTTACCTTGACGAATCTCACAAATTAATTTATTAGCCTCAATACAGGCTTTTAACTCTAACCGTCCCCGTCTCTCGGTGTGATCACAGCCGCAAAGGTTAGGTACACTTTCCTGGCACCGTTTGTGAACATTCATGTTACATAATTTACACTTGTATCCTTGATGGAGTAATCCATAGAGTAGGGAGCCACAATGGTCACAAAAGGTTGGCGAGGTAAAGGTATACAAAGTAAACGTGTGTTTGGTTCGGGTATCATCGGTACCCTTAATGCCCTTATCGATTCCAGGGCAGGTAAAGGAAACAAATTCATGGCAACGTTTATGGACAACGAAAGAGCAAACTTGACATTGGAAACCTTGTTTACCAAATCCCCAAATAAAATCTTTACAATGGGAGCAAAAAGTGGGCTGTTTAAAAAATCGAGGCATAAACTTGTGTTGTTTCACCTCGAAAATGTTTTTCTTCTTGAGAGCACCTTTTCGAGCTCGAATCCGTCGATTAAAACCAGTCTCCATTTCGGTGACATTTTCCTTGTCCTCGTCCATCGATATTGAACTGGTCAACATGATGAAGATTAACTCGTTAATCTATTGACACGCAAACAGAATGAGAGGAAGATAGAGAGAGAAATAAACACACACGAACTGTTCAAATGTTCAATTAAAAGTTCCAATGAGATTTGAACAATATAAGTTTCACTTTGTTCAGATTAATTAGCACAGATAAACATGAGAAGTGTGAAAAATGTTGATAGATTATAAAGTTTTCCTTTTCATCGTTTAAATTCAGTTGTTAATTCCAACATTATAATCGTTATAATTGCTGATCCTCCTTCTCTCAATGTTTATTTATCTTTCTCTATGTTTATAATTATAATCGTTGATCTCGATGAGGTTTAATCGTTAGAATTGTTTACCATTGGGAGATTTAATCTGTTTCATTGGGGGAAAAAAATAGAAAAAGAAGAAATGAAATTAGAGTGATTAACTTTATTATTAGATAATCAATGGAGTAAAAAAATAGTAATGATAATAATAATGACGATAATGGTGATAGTTAATGAAAGGTTGAAATGGTTACAATGGGAAAATAGAGAGAGAGAAGATGATGAAGATAATGATGATGATAAGGAAGATAAATAAGGAAAAGCATGACGATAACAATGTAAGGATTTAGATGTTAAAAGGATGCTTTTTATCCTCTCCTTGGCCCCAAAAATAGTGGCAATACAATTAAATAACATTATAATTAGATTAAATTGTTGGCTTTCATCAATCTCATAGTATTTGGGTGTAAATAAAGGTGTCGTTTAAATGAGAGGGAAAATTAAGTTAAGGAGGAAGAAGAAGATGAAACAATTAATAGAGAATCTCAATTTTCATGATCATAGTCAGATCTTTGTGAATGGATTTAGAGAGAGATTTAGAAATCACTTGGATTAGTGTGAAAGTAATTAAAGTGAAAGGAGGGAAGAGGAAAATAAATGATCAACAAGGTGATTGATTAACTGATTTAGTTAATCAATTGATTTACTTTACAAGGTCTTTCAGTCTCATCGGATGATATTTATGATTTTTTTACTCTTATTGTTTACTCTTGTCTGTTCATCTCCTCTTAATCTCTCTCTCTCTCTCTCTCTCTCTCTCTCTCTCTCTCTCTCTCAGCTATTGTTTGATTGTATTGATTATCATTATTGTAATTTAATAATAATGATTAAGATGATCTTTTTTTTCATTTATCATTTCTCTTATCAGTTTCTTCTGGTGAGTGACTTTTTTCATCTTCATCATGTCGCCAAGATGATGATAGAAAATTGAGAAGAATGATTAAGAAATAGGAGATAGAGTAACATGGATTAGATGAGAGGATGGAGATAACTGGGGATGAGGATGAGAAGATGAGAATGATTGAAAAAAGGGGAGAGTCTTTTCCTTGACTGTGTTTCAAGGAGAGTGGGAGGTAAATACATGTATGTACAGTCACTCACATGTAACATAGTTAAATGTGATTTCGTTGAGATGATGATGCAAATTGGATTGAATTACATTGGATTGGCTTCCATATTAGTGGTTCCCTGAACATTATTATTCACATGGTAATTTTTTCGTATATTATACGATTAGAATACAAAAGAGACTTTTAAATTAACTGAATATCACCTAATATTTTCACTACAATCATTGGAAATTTTTGATTTAATTGCGTTTTGATTATATCAAATGAATACAATTTCATTATTCATATTTAATATGAATTAATATCACAAGTTAATCAAAACTAAATGGTCTTAATTTGAATGGATGACAGTTTGAAACAATTTAGGAGGGAATATGATTATAATTTGTTGGCAATCAAGTAACTTTACAACTTAATTGTGTATAATTTGTCAACAAATTGTATTGAAATTAATACCCATTGTATTATGATTAGTATAATTGTTGAGCTAAATTGTTGTTATTCTGAGTTTTTGGTTCTCTCTCTCTCTCTCTTGCTTTTTGTTTCGTTTTGTAATTAGTGTTTTAATTTTATCCAAAGTTAATAGTCATAAATCTTAATCAATTAGTCTCACAATTAATCATTCATTCAGAATTTTTTTTCTCTCACTCATCTTGTAAATTAGACTTTAAGAAGAGAACAATTAACTTAATTCTTGTCTTCATGTTCATTGTTATTATTAAGCATTTATTTGGATTTAGATGATAACTGAAACAAAAAAAATTCTTAATTCTTGATAATACTAAGAGGAAAATTTAATTGTTGTTAGGCTTCATGGTTAGCAAACTAATTGTAATCCTTAAAACAAGGAGAGACACATAGAGAAAGGTTATTATTATTATTATTATATGTTATCCATTGATTTTTTTGTCTGCTCTCTCTCTCTCCCATTCATTTATGATAATTGACTAGTTTTCATTGAGAATGATAGTTTTAACTAAATTACCAAAATATCTCGTTAGTATTATAATTTGGTAATTGTGAAGGGAGGAAAAGGTTATTGGTGATAATTGGGAAGAGGAAAATGGCTAAGAAAATGGGATGATGGCTTAATGATAACTTGTAATTTCTGGGTAATTGTGATCAATAATTTTGGTAATGATTATACATAAAGAAGAAGAGAAAACGACAATTTCAATGAACTATATTTCTCAATTATACTAATAAATAATGAGACTGTCACTTGGATGAAATAAACAAAATGTCATAACTGTCAACAAAACGATCATTAAAGTGAGAGAGAGAGAGAGAGAGTGAGAGTGAGTGAGTGAGAGAGAAAATCTCAGAAAGTATCTTTGGTTTATCTCTTTATAGATATAAGATCAAGATTCGTCAAATGGTTGAGCGGAGAAGAAAATTTCTCTTTCTTTCTTTCTCTCTCCAATATCAAAACATGGAGACAAACATGAGACCAACACTCTGAGAATATGAATGAACTGAATGGTAAAGAATGAGAAGGAAGAAACAAATAGAAAGAAAATAAGAGAGAAAAATAATGGAGGGAATAGAATAGAAAACAATCCATACTAACCATTTTTACCTTTTCCATGGGTGAATTTTGGTAACCAGGATAAACTGAGAATAGAACGATTTACTTTTTGGTGTGTCCAGAGAGAAGAAAATTAATGGTTTAATTTAATTGTTTAATCGAAGGAAACAACACAGGATAGAGAAGAAGAGAAATCAAAAAACCCTTAAGGGTAAAGAAAGAATATAGAATTTTAGTGTAATAAAGATGAAGAAGAACTGGTGAGTATTGATACCGGAGAATAAAATCCAGAGAAAGGTAACACAATTGAATGAGAATTCAAGTGATTATGGTGATGGAAGTGTAAACATTTTGACACTTAACATTAAGAGAAAAGCACCAAGATGATGATGAGAGAAAAATAAAAGAAGAATAAATTTAAAATGATGGAAAAATTGTCGTGTTTATCCAAGAGTGTTTATCTTGATGGGGTTAGAATGAGAATCCATTAGGCAGAGACACTTTAAGAGATTGTGATGATTTAAAATTCAATTGATTAGAGAATCTGGTTACCATTTGATGAGAGAAAAACAATCGAAAAGTCACAAATTCATTCAATTTATACTGAGAATGGTGATGATGATGATTTATTGATTTTCTTCCTTCCAAAAAGCTTCTCTTCCCAGTTATCATCTTTTTCTTTCCTTTCACTTTCTCTCTTCGTCCAAATAGAAAAAAAAACGAATCAAAATTTTCTATTCTTTTTAATAACCGAAGATGGAGCCACTTTTCTTTCGAATTTTTTCTCTCTCAGCTGATCGATGAACGAATTTCATTTTTCTCTATTTACAATTAACTTCTCGTCTTAATTAGTTCGTTGATTTTTCGGTTAATTTTTGATTAATTTCTTTCTTTTTTTTTGGTTCTGTTTAATGTTTTTTACTAAGAGCCTTGGATTATGGGAGATACTCGATGGTGTAGATTAATTTGAAAGATAAATTTTGTTTATTTTAAGTGAATTGGTGAACAAAAAAAGATATGAAATTATTAATACACATTTGGAATATGATTAAAAATCAATTGATTGGGTAGTTTGAACCAGTGGTGTTAATTAACCAGTGATTAAGTTGAGGGAAGGGAAGAGTTATATTAATATTATTGCATTGGTTATAGTGTATATGAAGAGATAACCATGTTTGTGATAATTACAATCAGGGTGAGATTGTTGGGAAGAATTAAAACATTTTCTTTGTTCTCTTAATTTTTGCTTCATAATTTACTTTGGTCTCTTAAGAATTTGAGTAAAGAGTTGAAATAGAGAGATCATTAAGTCCATCATAAGAAGTTGGTGAAACGTAGCCACCCTCTTCGTCTGAAGAGGCTTCGTCTTTATTTGGTAGTGTGTCAAGGTCACCTTGTTGTGGACTTCCAGTTCTAAGGTCATTCTCGGGTGTATCATCAAGATTGGTGATTGATCGACGTCGAACTCCCCAATTAAAGTTATCCATACCTTCGCCTTCTTGACTTTCAAGCTCATATTCAAGGAAATCGAAATCTTTAAATAGTCCAAATTGATCGGAATTACCGTTGTCATCGAGTTTACTCTCGGCGGAAACATCGTTATTCGTATTTGTTATATCCTCTTCACTCGAGCCCATGGAAGATTGTCTCTCAATAATATCACTATTCTGACTGAAAATGACCGATGGTGATTTAGGGAGACCAACACTTTTACCGAAACTACGTAAAAGTCCAATTAATTTTTCTCGTGTTCGTGATTGAGATAACCAGGGCCTCTTCCAATTTGAACCTTCGTTGAACGAGTGATTATATGAAAGACTACGACGAGGCGATGAATTGTTATTTGTTGTCTCGGTGGTTTTATTTGTCTCTGTGAGACTAGAATCATTGGTTGGTTTGATTCTATTCATTTCTTTAATATCTTTTTCATCAACAACACAGGTTGTTTGAGACTGTTGTTGTTGAATTTGAAGTTGTGGTGGATGCACTGATTGTATCGGTTGATATAATTGAGATTGTGAGGGTTGAGTTTGTTGGAGTAGTTGGGGTTGTGACGATTGTTGTTGTTGGGGCTGGGGTTGAATCTGTTGTGTTTGAGTTTGAGATTGTGGAGGTGAAGGTTGAGGTGGAAGAAGGTTAATTTGTTTAGAATTTTCTTCTTTAGTTAAAAGATTTTTCCTCTCATCAATGATAAACTTTCTTCCAACAATCGGAGTTTGCGTTAAATCAAAGGAAAATTCAATCGTTCGACCAGGTAACTCTCGTCTTATGCCAAACTCAGAATCGGCAAATGAAGCACCCGATGCAATAGAAACGGTATCAGCTGGAATCGCTGATGAATAAGCAGAGGCAAATGCTGATGAAACAGTAGCTGTACCAGAGACTGAGGATGAAGAGGAAAGCGAATTGATTGCCGATGAAGTGTAAGAAGGAGCTGCGGCCAAGGTGGACGATCGAGTGACCACAAGTTTCAATATTTTCAATGAATCTTTCCATTGTTGACTTTCAATATATTTGTGGATAATTTTAGAAAGGTCATTGTTCAATGACGACGATGAAGTTACAATATCCATATAATGTAACATACAGTGAAGAATTGATAAAACGTGACAACTAAGTGACGAAGGGCCTTTGTCCATCACCTCGACTAAAAATGTTACCAAAGAGGGAAGTTGTAAGGATAAGCATCGAAAAGATACTTGACCACACACTTTGTCCACTGGAAGGATTCCTTTGAAAACGCCTTTTTACTGTAAAGGGTCATCACGGTCGCCAAATTTTCCAAATTGTAAGTTCCTGGTTCTTGCACTTTAGATGTACACCATTCGGCAAATTTTTTCGAAGCGTGGATACAAAGAGGATTCGGATCATCGTAATTGGAGAGCATGTAAGGTAATAGAGCGAAAACATTGAATGGAAATGAGTCGATGTTTTCACTTGGATCGACAAAGGACAATTCGAGGAATGGTGTTAATCTGTGGAGAAGATAAATTGTTGCTTGATAGGTTGAGGTCGAAGTGCAACCTTTGAGCAGCATTGCGTGAACTCCAGGGAAATTTGTCCATTTCGATTGAAGGATAACTTTTTCTACCTTTTCTTGGGAATCGTTTCTCTCAAGGGGAAGATAGGTTAGAATTTTTTCCATCAATCGAAGTGCGAGGAGAAATTCGTGTTCGTAATCAGTTTCCAGCATTGCGACCGAAATCCAAAAGAATTGGGCTAAAAGTGAGATGCGATCTTCTGGTGACATTATTTGATCTTCATTTGTTTTGAGTGATTGTGCACTACGAGATCGGCCAAAGTTGTAATCAGCTGAATGTCGGTGAGCCATTCGGAAGTCAATCTCGGTGTTACTACGAAATCTCATCTCACGATGTTCAATATTGGGTGAGCCCATGGACACTGCTGATTTCCTTTCGGGAATAGTGATCGATATACTTCGAGCGTGGTTGAGACGCTCAAGATGTTGAGGTGTCATGTAACTCGAGGTGGGAAAACTTGATGAGGTTACAGTTGCTTGGCTCGACGCATTGGATGGAGGTGGTGCCGTTGGTGAGGCTATATCACGATCAGACATTCTCAAGCACGAGGTGGGTAAAGGTGGAGCGGATCTTTGTTGTTTGAACAAAGCTTTCACGTATTCGCTGAGGATATGTCGCTCGGAGTTGAGAGAGTCAACAGCTGATTCAAGGGTTAACATTAACTCGGTTACATAACCTTGCATGTCCTCACCTTGTTCAGCGACTGTTTCAACAAGTCGAGATAAAATGTCGGAAAGCATTCGTGAGTTAATTGGCAATTTAATAGCACGGAAAATTTGGAGAGATCGACCAGCGTAATGACGAGATGAACATGAGAGAGCCAATTGGAGAGCAACTTCTGCCCAACGCTCTTCAATATGACCTCTAATCAGAGATTCCTTAAAGACGAGGATAATGTGCTCAAGAAAATAGGACAGTTGAGAGGCACTTCGAACTGACCACACTTTTGCTGTTATATCTTCACAGTTCCAGAGGTTTGAACCTTGTTTAGAATCAAGAAATTGAACTAAACACTTTACCAATTGCTCCAAGGACATTGTGCTATTGGGTTGTTGGTCAGTTGAGATTGTTGAACAATTATCATCGGCATCGTCGACTGCAGGGTTAGACCAGTTCTCATTTTTACCCATGTCGTTTAATGAAGGATTAGAAGGCATATCGAAACACTTACGACCCAATCGACATTGACTAAGACAACAATCATTCAATAAGTTATTTGTACGATCAGCAGGTGGGTCGGTGAAATCGGGAATTGTTTCAGGAATAGCGGGATTAATTGTTAGATTGTACTTGAGACGAGAGGTCTTGTTGTTCAATAAGATGCGACTTATGGTAAGGGGATCATTATGAGCACAACAAATGATCAACAGGTTGAGAAGTAATTGCTTGCAGTGTTCGTGGATCAAAACTTTGGGATGGTCAAGACCCAAGAAGATTATGTTCAGCATTATTGGAATATGAGGTGTCCAGTCAATGGGAATTCCGTCAGGCACAACATCACATAGAAGAAGAAGGGCAAGATTACACCGATGAAAACCAACCACCGGTTGAGATGAATCGGGTAAAAATTCCGTCAAAGGTGCATAGTAACCTCCAAATTCAGGCATCGGCAAAGGATGTGGTTGTCGCGCTGATGTTTGACAAGCAGCAGCAGCGTCCGATTCAGCGACCCGAGCCAAGAGCATAAGACTTTCCTCAGTTACTGAGGCAAATGAAATGATCGTTGGATCTTCGGTCATTGATGAGAGCCGATCGATTCGAGTGGTACTCATACCACCTGAGACACTTGATCCAGCAGAGTTTTCAGTTGCGTGGGAAGAGGAAGCGGCAGCACTTTCAACAGAAGCAAATAAACGATCAGCTGCACCACCGCTTTCGGTTGAATGACGTTTGGTATGTAAAGTACCTTGCTCGAGATTCATGGAGATACGATTACTCCCTTCGTAGTTGATAACGGTCACTGTTCCCTCTTCCGAGTGACCATTTTCCTTTCGAGCGGTTATGCGGAAAAAGGGTGGAGTCTCTGTTCGTTCAATGACACAATTAAGATATTCAACAGTTTGTAGTTCACACATCATTTCATCGATAAAACGTTCAGGTCGCGCTCGAGCCATGTACAAGGCCACCCGCTTGGCAAATGGAAGAAGTTCAGTTGGAGATAAACCTGTTACTATAAATAAATATCGAATGATGATTCTCATATTATTAGGGAATTTAGAACATAAACAAAACCAAAGTTTCTCGATCTCTTTCGGATATTCGTCGCCAAATTTAACCGTTATATAGAAAAGATTGTTTAGAACCATTTCTGTTGCTTCGGCACATCCCCAACCTTTTGGCACATGATCGTCACACTCATGATTAGAGTTGTAGTTGTTTAACAAAGGATTAGTTTGAGGGATCACATAGGAATCAACAAGTTCCATATCAGATAACCAAGGTCGTAAATAGTCCAACATGTTTCGACAGATCGATGAACGGGCCATTTGTAATCGAAAGGTTATTTCCGAGAAGAAGGGCATAGTAAGGTCAGCATGAAGTTTCGCCATTCGTTGGGATAATTCAGATTGATTGAGAGGAAATGATGATGTTAAAAGTGGTTCGAAGGGCTTGAATTCGTGTTTTGAATTGTCTTTTTTTCGTAGTTGGACTCCAGCGATTTCTTCATCGGACACTTCATCCGGTTCGTCGTCCTCTAAAATCTTCTCAAAGTTGGAAACTGATTTCTCTGACTTTTCAAATTCGTAATTCAAGGCCAACTTTTTACCGGAACCAAAGAAACGATAATCAAGAATTTGGAGTAAACTAAAGGCCATTTCAGCGATGTGAGCTCGAGGACATCCGACATTCATGAGAGTTACATTAATGATCGAAATGTAATGATCACAAGGATAATCACGAAGACTAAAGATTGTGGCGATTGCGGTGAAACAACTATCGGCAACTGGAATTTTTTGTGAATAACAACAGTCCACTAACCAATCGAGAAGTGGCCCAGTGTCTGGATTGAATTCGAGGAGAAGGACAATTGTTGCGTGAGCGAGTTTTGTTACCTTTTCATTGGTCGATGATAAAATTCCCTTAAGCCAAGTGTAAACTGAACTGTCCTCCGAAAGGTAAGAATTGTCGAAAACTTGACCACAACAAAGAACCGATGACATCGCTTCGAGAGCCATGAATTCAAGGTCAGATGAAGGTGAACCAATGATATTTTGAGTGACTGCTGATTTGGAATCAACTAAACACTGACTATATTTACCTGACCAAGAGGCAAATAATTGGAAAAGGTTGGCACGTAAATCGCGGCCAAATAGTTTAGATCGACTGTCCAGTGGAAAAGATTCAGCGAGATGATTGATGAAACCACAGAATTTGATTCTTATTTCAAGAATATTTGGATTATCTTTGTCATTCTCATTTTCGAGATATAAACGAAGTCCATCAATATATTCGATGAAAGTATTGTTAAGTCCATCGGCTTCACGATCAAGTGAAGTTGAATTGAGGCCGAAAATTTTTCTAACAGCTAAAAGTTCAAGTAAAATTCCCAATTGAATCCGTAAAAATTCACGAAGCTTCCGTTTTCGATTATTCTCTTTGTTCCGATCTATCGCCTCTCGGATGTAAGGAATTAATTCTTCCATAAGTTCTTTCACAGCTGATGGGTTGATATGCGAAAGTCCGAAAATGGCCGCGTTTCGAAGGTCTGTGTTCTCGTTTCTTATGTGAGGTAAAATTTGTGAGAAAAGACAAGCAGCACTAACACCACGACTGAGAGGAGATTTGTTGTCCAAAGATCGTTCAGACGCCATACTATCCGGCGACGAACTTAAATCGTGAGATATTAACTTGGAACTATTAGTAACTGATGAAGAAGGTACAATCGAACAGGCAAACATGAGATAATTTTTCCAAAGCGCTAGATAAGCGTCACGTTCATTGGGAGATTTTTTCACATTAGATGAGGTTCCACGAAGTAAAACTGAGGCGCGATTATCGTTAATTGAAGTTGTATCAATGTGAACTGTAAGAGAATTTAATCGCTGACAGGCCAATGACCAAGCGAAAAAAGTTGTCGAAGTGCAAACTCGTGAAACTTCAGACATGAGACCAGTAATTATAGATGACCAGGCGTTCATTTTGATTATCGAATCCTCAGATAATTCGGTTGTCGATGATGATGACCTGTTGATTTCAATATCATTTTCATTGGTAACGGTTAACCAGGCCGATCCGGTTCGATCTGCTAACCATTGAAGGTCAACATTGAAGGAAGAGGAAACAATGAATGTCCTTTCGGTTGATGGTATGAATGGAAGACAACTTTCAAGAACTGATGGACGAATACGATCAATAACATCGAGAACAGGTTCTTCTGATTCGATGGCGGAAACAAAAGATTGCATCAAACTGCGAGTCTCTTTAAGTAAATTGGCTGCTAATCGGCGGGTAGGTTGACGACAACTGACCAGCATAACCAAACCAATCGCTTCGAGACGATGAAGTACTAGGATTGTGTGTTGACCTTTAGTAGCTAGTGGGTCGATTTCATTGATTGTCTTAGGCCCACCTGTTGATGTTGGTGTTTGTTGCATTGTGGCTTTCCAATTGGCAAGTAACTGTAAAAGCATTCGAAGTGCATTGTCTAATAGTTGAGGGAAAGTGTCATTGATTTCGGTCAACATGAAGTTAATGAAACCCTCGACGACATCGTCTCTCCATTCAGGAAAATTGTTGATAATATGTTGCAACGCTTGCCAGGCCAAAACGCGAAGTTCTTCATCCATGTGGACAGTTAGACGAGAAAGTAAATCAATTAAATCGGAACGGGACATTCCATCGGGTATAAGACGAGGAATCGCTGCAATACAAGCTCGGAAAAGATCAATCTTTGGTTTCCTTTCACCGGTGATCATATCATCCGGCTCTTTGTTGATATTTTGAACGGTGGTTAACATCAATGGTTTACCAAATTGTAAATCTAAGGCTCTCAAAATATCATTGAGTGATTTGAGGACATGCGGAAAATAATCGTTGACTCCGATGTTTTTGGCCATTTTTTCGGTCAACATTTTATTCAGATAAGTTCGTTTAACACGAAGGGTATTACCAGAGGGCATGACACCTGCTGTTCGAGGCATCGGTGGTTCACCTTCTTTCTGCTGCAAACTATCAGCAACCACGATGAAAGCTCTCAGGCCGATGGTCATTCTTTCAGGAGCAAAGATGACCTTGATCGGACGATCAACGGAAAGAAGATCATAAACAATCCCCTTCATTGCGAAGTCCAATTTTTCTTGAGCAATAAATTGAATTATTTTGACGAAGAAACTTAAGTTAACATCTCGGGGAACAACAGCTTTAGATCCTTTAGGAAAAAGTGAGTAAACGATACTCTGTAGTTTAGATTGGGTTGCGGTGTTTGATTCACACTTGATTCGAATCATGTAAACCCAAAGAAGACGATGAAGAGATTCCAATGCGAGTTTGGACATTTTGGAATCACGATTTTTAAGGTGTGACAGGCACATGGAAAGGAAACAGTGCCAATTTTTAAGGAAAAACTGTTTTTGTGACACACAAAGCAAACAAGTGACCAAAGGGAAAAGAGCGTAAGTGTGTTTCTTTTTAACGCAAAGATCCAACGTTAATGGGTAAAGCATTTCGACGAAATTTTTCAAACAAGGTACATTCACTTCGTTTTTAACGGTGGCAGCAACAGGTGAAAGTATATCGACAAATAGACCTGCCAAATTGTGTTTAATGTCTTTGTCTTTAACCTCGATAAAATAGTGGGCACATTCGTGCATAAACTCAAAGGAAGCTTCAAATTGTTCAATGGGAACCATTTTGATTCGGAAAAATTTCATCCCCATGAGAAGATTGATTATCGACTGGGTGGTTACCATTGATGGTTCTCTTGAACGGAGTTCCTTCAATTCGGCCATAAATCGTTTACGAACAGAATGGAATCGAGCTTGAGCCAATACACCGATAACTTCAGCGTAAAGATCAGCGACAATGTTGATATTCTGATAATTTGGATCATTTTTGGCACCTTCACGATATTTAAAGTGTTTAAAGGCAAGATTTTCAATATAGTTGACCAGATCTTCATGTCCAGGGTGAAGTGGAAGTTGTTTCAAAACCTCAATAAGAAATAAACAGAAAATAAATTCAACGCAAAGGTCACGTTTCTCTAGAATGTAAAGTTGCTCCGATTTTTCATAAATATCACATCCGGAAGAGGAACTTTTACCTGTTCCTTTTGATTGAGAATCTGATAGATTGGCTTTAAATCCTTTTGTCTCAATATAATCAGCAGTTGCAGTTAATTGTCGATCATACCAAGCAAATAGGGTTGATAAAAGTGAAGGTAAACAATGTTCCGCAACAGAACCAAAAGCAATTAACAATTGATCGAAAACAATATCTTCACCTTTTTGTAATGATTTTGATATAGGCTTTTCCAAGGTGTCATTTGAAAGAACAGAATCAATTTTCTTTTCCGTAGAGATGGCAAATTCTGAGAATAATGTTTTAATTATAAATTCACCTGGTTTACCATCTTTGGTTAGATTCCAATCGTTGATATTATTTAAACATCCACCACTCCGATCTCGTTTACTAACCCAAGGTAAATCTTTTGACTCTCCGAATATAATCATTTTGGAAGCTTCATTTTCCATCACCGAACAAACAAACAATGCTAATAATACTATTAATTAAATTAAACGAACAATTTAATTGATTAAGTTAATAAACGAGTAGAAGGAATAAATTTACAGATGAGTCAAGAAATGAAAACAAAACCAAAACCAAAACAAAATAGAAAACCTGAAAACAGCGAAATCTGGTGGTTGAAAGTGTCAAATGCTAATCATCTTTTTTTTATTCTGTTATCGAGACTCTCGATTCTAGAGATTAATAGAAACCGTGACTATAAAAATTGGACTTTTGAGTTTCGACTTTGAACATTTGTAGGATTATCACCGAAATTTGATTGTTAGCAGAGAAAAAAGGTGGAAAAGTAAACAAGTGGTTGATTATTTGTAAATCACTTTACGATAATTAGACATTAGATTTTGTTTATCTTGGATTCTTTTTTTCATTGGAGCTCCATATCGTTGGTAGCCCATTTTGTCACGAGTTTGTTGTTGCTTTGAAACTAATTTAGAGTAAACAATTAGTTTGGGATCAATTTTTTGATTTGAATTCTTCAATAGATCAACTAAATTAACCGATAATCTTGAATCTTCAGGCATAAAAAATGAATATGATTTTCCAGATTTTGACACTCGGGCAGTTCGGCCGATCCGATGGACATAATCTTCAATTGTAATTGGCATATCGTAGTTAATTACAACGGAAATATTATCAATGTCAAGTCCTCGAGAGGCAATATCGGTTCCAATGAGAATTGACCTATCACCCGAACGGAAGGCTTCAATCATTAGATTACGAGAGTGTTGAGGTCGATCTGAATGAATGGCCATTGAATAGAATCCATTAGCGGTTAAATATCTCTGAAGGAAATCGGCTCCTTTCTTGGTGGCAACAAATATTAGAATCTTATGATTGGGTAATTTTTTGGTTCCATCGTCTAAACTATCCAATAAACTGAGAATTGCCGATTCTTTGGCTTTAGGTACAGGTTCGAGGAAGATAAAATTTTGATCTATACTTGGATTTGCGACCAATTTAGCTGATCCAACATTAATTTGAATAAAATCTCTCAAAAAGTCAAGTGATAAATCACGAACTTCATCAGGCCAAGTAGCACTAAAAAGTAAAGTTTGTCGTTTGTTAGGTTGTTTAGGTGTTCGTTCAATTATCCGACGTATTTGAGCCTCGAGTCCCAATTCTAACATGCGATCTGCTTCATCAAGAACAAGAAAATTAACTTTAGATAGATCAACATTTTTCTCGTCAATGAAATCATTCAATCGACCTGGAGTTGCGATCAGTATATCTGGATTTCTAGAGGTCAAACTTTGTGATTGCGCGCGACGAGCAGCTCCACCAAATAAACACACGGGAATATGATGACCAATCTCAATGAAAACTTGATTAATTTGTTGAGCCAATTCTCGAGTCGGTGTTAAAATAACCACACTCGGTCCATGGTAACGTTTCTTGTTCCTGTCAACCATTGATTCAATGTGACAAAGTGCTGGCAGGGCAAAGGCCAAAGTTTTACCCGAACCCGTCGTTGAAATACCAACCAAATCACGTCCACTCAAAGCAATAGGCCAAGATTGCGATTGAATTGTTGTCGGTTTAGTGATTCCTTTCCTTGTTAAATATTCCCTAATAACCACCGGCCATTCAAAACAATCCAAACTATCCCAGGGTTCGGGAACATTATCACCTTTAACAATTAACTTCTGACCATAAATCGATTGTCCATCAATTGGTTTACAATTTGAATCTTTACCTTCATCAGTAACAATTAAAGTTGATTGTTGATTGAACACATTACTAGTTGAATCCACTAGACTACCTGTTAAACATTTGACAAGAATTTGTTGATTTTGATAATACAATTTACTTGAACTTCTTAAAAGACTAACTAATAATCTAGAAGATTGAAACATAATTAAAATTGTAACAAGTAGAAAATCAAACAATCAAAACATTAGAATTGTTACATTTCATCAACAAGAGGGAAACATGTGACCAACAGCTGATTAGAATTGAAAGAAAAAATTTGGCGAAAAATTTGAAAACGAATCGATTTTCTTTTGAAACAATCGGCCAAATTTTCTGGTCAGTTTATTATTTACTCTGTAAATTTAATAATCGTTGATTCTTGAAGGTTGTGAATCTATTAATCGTATCAATTGTAAACAATTAACTTGATTCAGTTGGTCTGTTATTTATATTAATCATCAAGAGAGTAACAAAACAAAAGATACAAAAAAAATGAATCAGGAAACATCAACAATCAAATTGAAATCATTAATTTCCAGAGATAGAGACAAGAAATTAAACAATTTTCTTAATCATAATCACGACAATTAAAGGTAAAACAAAACTGACAATAAGACAATAGAAACAATTAGTTGATTTGATGAACAATTAAATTACAATTAGTGAAACAATTTTGTTTTTGGACGAAAAAAAAAGTTTCAAAAACTTTTTTCTCTCTTTTTTTGCTTTCAACTAATTAAATTGAATTAAGTTAATCATCAACTTTCATTATCATCACTTGAAACTCTCTGGCAGTTCGGCCGATCCGATGGACATAGTCTTCAATTGTAACTGGCATATCGTAGTTAATTACAACGGAAATATTATCAATGTCAAGTCCTCGAGAGGCAATATCGGTTCCAATGAGAATTGACCTATCACCCGAACGGAAGGCTTCAATCATTAGATTACGGTAGCGTTGATCACGATATTATCCCCTTACTTCGTTCTCTGTTACTTGATTATCAGGAACACGGGAATTATTTAAAACAACTACTATAAATGCGAGGACGTCGGCGGTAATTTCACCTTCAAAATAATTAAAAAAAAACAATCTCTGCTTCTGTAAAACTACAGGGCGTTTTTTATCCACTACGGCTATTACACTGAATATCTCCAGAACTAAAAGTCATATGAATGTCAGACTTGACCAGAGGACTGAACAGAATTGAAGCGCTCGACCATACGATTTTCAAGGTCATTGAGGTCATTTAACGAATGTAGCGTTCAAAGGTCATTTTAAGGTACACTGAATATCTGCAGAACTAAAAGTTTTTTCAGATTGAAACATGCCTATCTTCTAATCCGTTCATCACAGAAACTTCAAAATAAAATTTGAGGTGTGATTTGATTTGCTCTTTCACACGACGACCTTAAAATGACCTTTGACCGCTACATTCGTTAAATGACCTCAATGACCTTGAAAATCGTAGGGTCGAGCGCTTCAATTCTGTTCAGTCCTCTGGTCAAGTCTGACATTCATATGACTTTTAGTTCTGGAGATATTCAGTGTAATAGCCGTAGTGGATAAAAAAATGCCCTGTACTTGCAAAAATATCTTTGTAAAATTCAAGCGATAACTTGACTACCGACTATTCTGATCTCTTGAAGTGATTTGAAAACTAATCGAATTTCTTTTGGTTTGAAACAAAATTTTTTTATTTAATAAAAAATACAATAAATATAAACTACTATCCTTTCCTTATTCTTCAAAATGATCTGGAAATTGAATACAATCAGTTAATCGTCTAATTGATCACAACTAAAATAATCAGTCATATCAAGAGCTACTTCGGCACTTTGACGGACAACAGTTTTTTCATCGTTTAAAAATGTCTCCAAAAAAGTGATCGCTTCCTTGGTGCCAATGGAGCCCAAAGCTTCAGTACATTCATGCCGAGCGATTTCATGACAATCTTTATCTGAAATAATCTCTTTCAAATATGGAATCGATTCAATGTCACATAATTGTCCAAAAATATAACCAATTTCGTGTAAGAGTAAATCCATGGTTCGATCGTCTTTATAATGGATCAGTGTTTTTCCCAAGGCGTGAACGGAACCAGTTGTTGCCATGTTTCGAAGTGAAAATAATGCTCGATATTTATCATGTAAACTTGTATTGGAATCTTTTAAAATGTTTTCCAATTCGTTAATTGTTTTGGTTTCAGCAAATTGTGGAGCAGGATCATGAGTGGAGAAACGATCACATTGAACAGATTTAAGTTCTCTCTCATCAACACTTTCAAGCCAATAAATTTTATCCAGTGACAATTGACAGGTTTGAGAAACGATAATTGAATTATCATCTAATTGTTTGAACAACACTTTGATAACTTTTCTCTTTTCCTCTGGTTCGGATAGAGTAACAATTAAATTTCCAAGAGCTTCACCACACTCATGACGAGTTATCTCATTTTGTTGATCATCTTCAAGAACACCAATTAAAAATGGAACAGCTTCCTTTAGACCCATTTGACCCAAACAATATCCACACTCGTGCTGTAATAAAATGGAATCATCTTCGATCATTGCTTGATTAATCCATTTAATTGTCTCTGGTGTTGCTAAATTTTTCAAAGTAAACAAAGCACGGAAACGTTTCTTCAACGGCTCCATACGATTGACCAAGATTTTACCGGCCATTTCCAGTTGATTGTCGATTGATGGACACATTTTAATTTCAAAATCCACAGGTAGTAATACAAATAAGCGATAAAAAAAACAATTACAGAGAAATCAAAACAATTAGAAAAATAAAATCACCATTACATTTTCATCAGCTGATGAGATAAAATTACCAACGCCATCTATTAGTATCCAGAACTTTAGGTTAACCACTTGTTCAACGAAATGAATTAAAAACAATTATGGATGGAAATTAATTCATTCAAAAAGTGATTAACGGAGATTAAGAGAAAGAGACTAATTAACAGAGAGAGAAAAACATGTTAACACAATTTAGAGAAAAAAAATAAACAAAAGAACAATTTGTTTTTCTTTTCTACTTGGTAACCATCGCAACGAAAATCAAAACAAACGAAAATCAATCGATGAAAAATTAATTCATTTCTCTTTTTTATTGCTAATTAGTCATGAATTTTTTTTCCAATATTTTGTCATCTAATTGATACTTATTCTAATTAATGTAAATTTAATGTCTAATTCTGTTGGTGATTGTGTTAATCAAATTGTCACCGAAACTTAAGTAACTGTTATTGGACAACAATCAACAATCACATTGAAATGGGAAAACAACAAACATTGTGATTTGATTTTCTAATGTGTATTAACTAATTTGATGATCAAATTCAGGGAAAAATCATTAATTTTAATCTTTATCTGTTTTCTAATTGTAGTGATTTAACTGTTTTATTGGTTTGTTCCGGTTTTGGACTTTGTCGTTTGAATGAGAAAATTTTTTCCATTCACCCGCCGTAAAGGCTCAGCTGATACTCGGATTAAAGGTGCTGGTGGTGGCGGAGATGATGGCGGAGGATCAAGAAGTGGAAGGCATGATGTTAATCGTCACTCAATTGGTTCCTATTCAAGTGTATCCAATCGTTCAATGGTAATCCAGTTAATCCGTGGCGCTTATAACATTGACTTAGCAAAGGTTGATCAAAGTTTCACTAAGCTTCATAAATCCTGCTTTCTAAATCAAGATTTAAATAAGGTAACAATTGTTAACGATTAACATGTGTTGATAGTTAATCTCTCTCTCTCTCTCTATCTATCTTTGATGATCCTCTCAACAGATAAGAAAATATCTTAAACAAGGAGCTAATCCCAATCAATTGGATAATGTTAGTCGATCATCACCTTTACACTTGGCAACCGTTAACGGGAATCTAAATATTATCCGTTTATTGATTGAAAATGGTGGTAATATTGATCTAACTGATGGAGATGGTAAAACACTAGCAATTAAGGCGGTTGAATGTTTCCATAAAGACTGTTTACAATTTTTAATCCTTCAAGGTGCTAATCTTAATCTAAGTGATAATCTAACGGGAAATACGGTTTTACATTGGTCAATTGTTAACAATTTTACTGATGGATTAAGACTTTGTTTGGCCTACGCTGGTCGAGTGGACGTTAATCGGAAAAATAAATCAGGTGAATCAGCTCTTCATCTGTTGGTCAAATATCCTGATCTTCACGAGTACATTGGAGATCTACTGGACAAAGGTGCCGAGATTGATTTGAGAAATAACCTTCAACAAACTCCCTTAATGATGACCTGTGAATACGGTTACCTTGAAGCGGCTCGAATGCTAATCAATAGAGGATCTTACATTTATCATCAAGATGAGTCCGGTTTTACCGCTCTGGGAATCGCCAAGAGAAATGGTCATCTCGCTTTAAGTAAATATCTAACGGATTTGGGAGGAGTTGATCAACTTACTAGGCCAGAATCAGAGGTGACCCCAAATGAGACTAAAACAACGGCTATTGATTCTTGGCCTTCGACTGAAGAGGAAGATGAAGATGAAATCATCTCAAAAACTCGTAAATTTGATCCAATTATTCAACAATTAAAATCACTTCAAGGAGGAGGAGGAGGTCTAATTGTTACTAGTGGAAATAAAAAAAGTGATAAAGTGTTACAATCAAGTGAATCAAATCAACAGCAAAAAGAAAACAATCAACAATCAACTGATCAGTTAAAATCTTCCCTTGACCAGCAATCTAATTATGAGATGAATAATCGGAAAGGACAATCAACTGGTTCTAATACAAGTAAGGATAATGATGATAAGATGACCAGAGATAAATTGAATAATTCAATGAAAATAGTAAAAGGTGATAATCTTGTAGCATCAGAAAATGTATCATCAATGAAAAAGTTAATTCCAAGGAAAGTGTTCCAAGTGATCTCACCTCATTTGATCATATTGATTCAGTTTATTCACATGAGACTTCAAATGATGAATTTATAAGAGAGATTAAGAATCTTTTGGATGAAGAGATTAGGGAAAATGATGAGTTAGATGCTCTTCTATTTTCAGTCAATTTTAATGGTCACAATGATTTACCAACAACTTCATTAGTTGATAAAATTGAGAAAGATGAAGATCATCAACAAGATAATCACCAATTTACCGGTAAAATTGTGCATAAATCAGATTCAATTGAACAATCAAGTGCCTTCAGGAAATTATCATCTTCCTCATCATCATTATCCTTAACTGATCATCAACCTGCAACCTCAGCAATAATTGTCAGCTCTAAATCATCAAAACTTTTACCAACAACAACAACAACAACACCAACACCAAATGATCAAGTGAAATTAGGACCAAGTAAATCAAAAAATATGATCCATGTTGATATTTTATCTGATTTATGGGAAGATTGGGAAGAGAGTAGAAATGATGATGAAAATGGAAAGAAAATCGTAGCATCCTCATCACCATCAACAGCCTTTAATCAACTGACCAAAGATTTTTCATCTTCTCTTCCAGATTCAACAGTTAACCCAACAGTTAAACCTGCAACATCAATTGAAAGTAACGGTCAAGAAATATTGGGAACCTTTTTCCTTAATAATATTTCCGATGATGAGAGTGATGATGATGGTAAATCAATTGATGAGATTGAAAGAGATGTGAAAAAGATGAAAGATAAAGAATCAAGAGGAGGCAAAATGGATGATGGTGATGAAGATAATGATCGAAATAGTGAATATAAGCGAAAAGAGAGAGAAGTTAAAAAAGATCTAAAGTCCAGTGAAGTAGAAAAAAAGAAAAATCCATTGGTCAAGGAAGAGAAAACTTTTTCATCTTCTTCATCGACTCATCAACCTGAACATGGAACTTTTTCCTTCTCATTAACACCTATAAGAGAAGAAGCAATTTCATCATCAACATCATCATCTTTATCGCCATCAATGGATAAAAAATCAAATGTACCAACCAATTTGATGACTAGTCAATCATCATCATCATCACCACCTCTTCCTCCACCACCACCAGTAAACTTTTCACCTCCATCATCATCGCCGCCACTATTACCTCCTCCTCCACCTCCTCCACCACCTCCACCACCATCAATATCATTCACCTCGTCATCTTTATCTTCATTATCATCATTTCCACCACCAGCATTACCTCCTAGACCTTCAGCAAGCAAGTTAACCATTGACACTTTGAGAGGTAAAGATAAATCAATTGAATTACAACGATCATCAATTGAAGTTCAAACTGAATTGGACGAGTTATCACCTCGATTCACAGAATTGGAACATTTAAGAATTGAAAGTGAAAAGAGGGTTAAATCACTTGAAATTGAATTGAGTAAACAATCAAGGGAAGCAGATGAGCGTCGTAATCAATTGATAGAGGAAATTAATTGTATGGAAAGAGAAAGAAAATTATTGGAATCAAGGTTGGAAGAGATGAAAGAATCACGAGAAAAGTTGATTGTTGAGAAAAAAGTTCTAATATTGAATGAAGCTAAATTACAGAAACAATTGGAATCCCATGAGGAATGTAAATGCCCCCAATTGAAAGAGGAATTGAAACAAGTTAAAGAATCAGTTAAATCTCATCGGAATCATTGTAATGATGAATTTATTCGGAAACTTCATGATCTGAATGATGAATGTAATGATTTAAGGCGAGAATTATCTGCTGAACAAACAGCCCTGAAAGATGAGATAAGTCAATTGGAGAAAGATAAAGAATTGTTCAAACTGGAGAATCAATGGTTAAAGGATAAATTAGATGAGATGAGGATCGAGATGAGAAAACATTTTCTTCTGTCCAGTGATGACAATAAGGAGCCAACTGACCAGCATGACCATTCTCAGCATCATCATCACCTTCAACCAGGAAGCAAAGAATCGAGAATAATATCAAAAAGAAAGAAAAGAAAACAAGGAAAAGAGGAAACTGATTATAATGATGATGGCAAAGAAGAAGATGATGATGATGATGATGGAGATGATGATGATCTTGGTGATAATGATACAATTGAAAATGAAACTCTTGAATCAATGAGGAAAACAATGGTTACTGTTGAATCACTTTTACGGAAATTGGATGATAAAATATCAACTCTCAATTTGGAAGATCAGAAAAAATTAATGGAAAAGATTATCGTTGAAATTGCGAAAACTCAAATTAATCTACAAGTAGAAAGTATGTTTAAAGGTATTCGATCATTGCTTGAGGATCTTCATCGACAATTAATCTCATTCCAATCAACAATTGATCAGCAACAATCTAACAATCAGGTAAATATGATGAAACTTTTTCTCCATTCGTTAAAACTTAACCATCAGGTCTAAATAACGGTACAATTATATATTAATGATAACAAAATATACAAACAAAACTAATCCAACGAAACTTTATATTTGTCAATATCTTAATCATCAATTAAGCTTGATGATCATTGATCAACTTAATCCTCAGATGATCATCAGTCTAAATCATATAACAATCAACAATATAACATATATAAGTTACTTTTTGTTAATATTTCTTACAAAATCGTAATCATCATGATGATAAATTTTGTTTACACCATGATGATGTTGATGATAAGTATTGAAGAGGATTAAGATGATATGAGATTTGATTATTATGAAGAGGTGATGATAATGATGATCTCTAAAAGTAAGATAATATCAGAAGGAGGGATAAGTAAATGATGAAGATAATATTTCAAAACGAATTCATGTTCAGATAAAGAAGAAAAATAAAAGAAAAAGAATCGGAAGAAAACTTTTGATTTCGAATACATTTTTTTTCTCTTCTTTTTCGTTCTTTTCGGTGTATGATCATGTTCATCATCTTTTCCGAATTAAATTGAATCGGAAATGTAAGAAGTATATTCCATCTTTATCTTCATCGTCTTCATCTTCATCTTCATCCTTTCCTATTCCATCATTTACTCAATATTATATTTCATGTTATCGATACCAGATCTTTGTTTATCATCTCTCTCTCTCTCTCTCTCTCTCTCTCTCTCTCTCTCTCTCTCTCTCTCTCTCTCAGTCTGCTTTACTGATGATAATAGTAACAATCAAGGAAAAACAATCGATAGTTTTGATTAACAAGATGATTATGATGATAAATGATGAGAATTTGAAAAAAACTGAATCTCTACAATGGAGCTAATATTTAACTTTGATTCTGTTGTTGTTGTTATTGTTGATTAACTGATTGTTTAATACTATTAAATGTCATGATTGTTGTGAGTCATTAAATTGTTACCATGTTTAACCTTTAATATCAAGTTGATCAGATATAATTATCATGATGATCAAGTTTAATACAAATGATTTAAAGTGTATCTCATTTTTTTTTGTTACCAAATTAGATTTAAAATTTTTTTCTTCCTGATTGTTATCATGATTATGATGAAAATTATAACAACAATTAACTAAAAATTTTCTATTGATCAACTTGATTATTATTACCAATTCTCTTACTATAATAGTTGATATAATAATTAACTGATTGTCTTTTAATTTTCTTTTTCTTTTTCCAGGTAAAGCAACAAACAAATGATGAGGATGAAATGATGAAGATGAAAAGTAGTGATGATGATAAATTATCAGAATTGGATCTTGATCATGATGAGAATCATGAAAATGGTGGAGGAGGAGGTAAAGAAAATAAAGAGAAACAATTAAAAGATGATTCATCTAATTGTTCACCAACAACAAAGAAAATAATTGCCAATGGTTTTTCAGTCTTCGAATCACGTATATCACAATTAACTTCATCAATTGAGAAATTAGAAGATAATATTGAACGTCAAGAATTAAATATGCTAATTCAAGCTCGTGGCTCCATTTGGTCAACATTAACTGACCCAACGGGAATGGTGATGGACAGTGGTCATTATCGTCGTGATGTCAACAACAATTCAATATTGATTAATTATGTCAATCGGAATGAAGTTAATCAATTAGCTCAAAGGAAACCACAAAGTATTTTTGTCCAAAGTTTAATGAGATTACAATCAAGTAAACCCATTGATGGTAAATCTAATTATCTTAAATTAATCAATGGAAATACCAAAGATTATGAACCATCATTTGATTTTAATTACACTAAAAATAATCTATCCAAACAAATTGATTCTTTAAAAAGTGAGTTAGGTTTGAGTCGTTAACAATCAACGACAATCAAATGCCAACCACAACCAGATTACAATTAACTAATCATCTAATTTTTACCTCCAATTTTACTTAATTAATTGTTCTAGGAACTATTTTTTTCTTCTTCTTTTTTAATGGTCTTTTGTTAATCAGTCATATTTTTTTTTAAATACCTCATTCTAGTCTGTGATCAATTCTTAATTCTCAATCAACTAATTGATTGACAATTTAACACAATCAAGGAGAAAATATCTTCTCATTTATCAATGATAATAATTATCTATTTATTTATGCATTCAGATTGAAAAGTTGAATCAAATCAACTTTGAATCAATTGTAATGATTAAAAATTACCATTTAAATTCAATAATCAACACAACTGTAAGTTAATTAAAGTTAAACAATTAAAAGAAAATTTTTTGCACATTTTGGTCCCTTAATCATCCGGTAGATGGCAAAGATGGTTAAATAAATTGGAGAAAAATTTTCTTCAACAATTAAAGTGAATATCCAACTAATCAATTAATTGCGGATCAAATTAATATTTTTCTTTCGTTCGCAAAAATTTAATCATGGTTAAAGTTAATTGTTATAATAGTACAAAGGAAAAATTAAAAGATTGATTGAGTTTTCGTGACGACAATAAATTCAACTAATTTAGATTTTTTTTTTCTTATTCTTTGATTATCTCAATTAAATTGTTTGATCAAATAATTTTTAATCAATTTGAACCTTTTCATTATCTACATGGTGATGATTATAAGTTGTAATTACAATTTAATCATGATTGACCACACACTCTATATGATTTGTTGATTAGTTTGTCTGTTTAATTGTAATAATGAAAAAAAATATAACAATTAACCAAATTGAACAAAAGTTGAGTATATTTTGACGTGATTAGTTAATCAAACTGTTTAATCATTTACAACATGTAGACAATTATTAAATGATGATGATGGTTGATTACAATGAATCAGCTCAGTTAATTATTAATCAGCAACAATTATAATTATGATTAAAAACCTTCAATCAAAATTTGTCTTCACACAACAACAAAGATACCAATCAATTATAATGTAATATTATTATTAATGAGAAAACAATTAATCATCAACATTGATTACAATTAATTTCTTGTATTAAAATAGTTGATTGTGAAAAGTGAACGAAAAAAAAACTAACTGAATCAAGTTAATTGTAAAATGAATATGTTTTTTAATAACAATTAAAGTTTATTATTTACTCTGTAAACTTAATAGTTGTTGATTCTTGAAGGTTGTGAATCTATTAACCGTATCAATTGTAAACAATTAACTTGATTCAGTTGGTCTGTTATTTATATTAATCATCAAGAGAGTAAAAAACAAAAGATACAAACAAAAAATGAATAAAAAATCAACAAATTTACCAACAATTTAAGCTAATTAACAAACTTTCAAACAATCAGGAAACATCAACAATCAAATTGAAATCATTAATTTCCAGAGATAGAGACAAGAAATTAAACAATTTGCTTAATCATAATCACGACAATTAAAGGTAAAACAAAACTGACAATAAGACAATAGAAACAATTAGTTGATTTGATGAACAATTAAATTACAATTAGTGAAACAATTTTGTTTTTGGACGAAAAAAAAAGTTACAAAAACTTTTTTCTCTCTTTTTTTTACTTCCAACTAATTAAAATGAATTAAGTTAATCATCAACTTTCATTATCATCACTTGAAGATGATTAAGTTTATGGTTCGTCGATTTCATCATCTTAAGTCCACTTAGAACCATCGAAGCGAAATCGAGTCAACTCTTCCCATAAGAGGTTACCTTTCATTACGACGATGACCATGGTCCAGTGACCGTTGACCTTAACAAAAGAAGCGAAAATGAAAAAAAAAATTAATAATCATAAACACCCTCAACATAATTAACTAACAATTGATAACAATTAAGTCTTTCTAATCATAATTAGTTGATTATATGATAAAACGCCACTCATATATTTTGTCAATGTCTTTGTCCATCTAACAACAACAATTAACTTTATCACCACAATCATAATGTGAGATTATGATTAAAGGTAACAATTAAGGTAACCGGAAAATTATTCATTCCTCTCAGTGATTTATATAAATTATTTGTTGTTAATTTTTACTCCTCTTGTCATATAGTTAGTTGATTGTTGATGATTAACTTTTCATTCACATGGAATCAGATTTTCCATTGATCTCACTGATTACAATTAGATATTAGCTTGTATTTTACAATCAACGACAACAATTAATTTACAACAAATGTTGTGTATGTTTATAAGTTTAATTGTTAGGAATTAATTTTTCTCAGAATCAGATTGATGATTTAACTAAAATTTTCAACATTTATCTTGATTGTTGTTGTGTTAAGTGTAAAGGGCAAATGATTTAACAACACATAATACAATCAACAATTAGTTTAAATTATCTTGATCAAGAGGAGATACTAATTTACTTGTTGTTGTTGTTGATTATTGTTGATTGTTGGGGTATCTTAAATGATGATTATGATGATTGGGTTAACATACAGAAACAACAAAAGTTAATCATAAATCAAGTAACAGCAACAAATAAACAAACAATTAACAATCAAATTACTTGATTCTGTTTATTTACCTTCAAGTTTAATCAGAAACAAAGGTTTCAAATGATTTACCTGGTTAAGGCCTCAACAATCAAATTCAAGTTTTGATTTGATTTCTTGTCAGTTAGATTATCAACTAAATCAATCTAATCAACATCAACAATCAAGGAGAGGTTTTAAATTTTAGTTTAGTGTAAAAATTTACTCAAACAATTAGATATTAATTGGTTGATATTTTTGTGTACAATTAACTCTTAACCATCATCATCAACACCAACAATCAAATTAACAACAGCAACACAATAATAATCACAAAAAAAGGTTAACCATAAACATGGAGAAAGTGAAATGATTAACTAAATTGTTTTGACAATTAACTCTCCAACCGGGTGTGTGTTGTGCTTTAATTTGGTTTAATCAATCAAAATTAATTTTAATCATCACCGTTGATCACTAACAATTTATCTGAATAAATAATATTTACATATGCAAGGCCTTGGTCGTTGTAATTTAATAGCTGATAATTAAATTGTAATTGTAATATTATTAATCATTAACCTCGAGATTAAGTTTATCAACAATTTAAATTTATCTGAACGTTGCTGTTGCTATTAAATTTTATTCAAATTAATCATAATCATAATCATCATGATGATGTTTCTTAATTGTAACAATCAAATTAAAACAAATTTGAATAATAATATTAATAAATTTAAATCATTTGGTATCATCAAAATCATTACCATGATAATCAACAACAATCAATTTAATTACTCTTGAGGGTCTAATTTTAATAACAACAAAACTAATCAAGTTGATTTGGTTTTTCGTAACTTTTTTTTTCCTCTTGATTGTAACAATTTACTCAATTGTTGGTACTGATAATCAACTAAGAAACAATTAATCAATTGTATAATCAACGAGATGTATATTAATCATTATCTAGTCAAACGTGTTTATATCAATTTACACAACAATTGAATTTAATTGTTAAAAGTGATAATCATTAAGTGGTTTGATTGTTAATTGTTAATCAAAACAAATCTAATTGAATTTTATTTTACCATATTAATATTAATCATATTTAAAGGGGAAATTGGAAACTTTTGATCATTAATTTAGATTTGGTTTAATTTATATTAAGCACAATTAAGGGTTGATGTAGATTATCATCATTTAATTTAGTCGACAATTAACTTTAATTGTAATTGAATTGTTGCGTGAGCAAATTGATTTAACTAATGGAAAAGGTAAATCAACAAATCTGATAATCAAATCAAACTAAATCCCAATTAAGACTATGATTCAACTGATTTGCAATTAAAACCTTTTTTTTCAGTTAATCATAATCTTAATTGTAAATCATTAAAAACAACAACAACACTCTGAACATGTTAAACATCATGTTAATCAATAAATGGTTAATTGTTAGCACAGTTAATTGCTTTTGTTGTTCACTGATTTAGTTTCTATTATTAATACAATACCAAGTTAAATTGTTGCCGGAACTGAGGAAAAGTTAATCGTTGATTAAGATGAAAAGATCATTTGAATATCAACAATTAACCATTAATTTGGTTTCCCATTTTCTACAATTAAGTTTAATTGTTTTGTTGAAATTTTTCTCAACAATCAACTGATTCTAATTGTCACTCTTAATAGTCTGACACATAATTAGTAGACTTGAAAATCAGTTTAAAAAGGTTTCATTGTTTAATTAATTCATAACAATCAATTGAACTCATATAAATGTACAGGAAATTTGTTAACCATTAAAAACGATTAGTTTTGTAACTGAATTAACTGATTGTTGTCAGTTTATTTATTTAATATCGATTCAAGTTAATGGTAAATTTTCAATACGAACTTGAGTTTGAAGTATCAAATATGATCGATTGTTGTAATGTCCAGTTTGATATGGTGACCAATCAATTGAATGGCCAGTTAGTTACACTTTTGTAATACCTTTTTGAAAAGTACTTGAGTTGAAAGGTCAACGTTCAAAAAGGTAATAACTTTAATTTGTCCCTTACTCGAGGTTACGAGTTTCAACTGACAAGTGAGTTGAATTTCCGTTGATAAGGTTCATAGATTTTTGGAAAATTGAACAATTAATTTTCGAATTATTATCAAATTAAATTTATTAATACATCGCTGATTAACGCTAACGCCCTGGAAATAATAGATTGTATTACAATTTAGCCGAAAGCTGATTAAGTTTTTGTAAATTGCTCATAATTCTAATGATTAGCTTCTGATCTGATGATAAATTAACAATACAAAACCGATAACAATTAAAAATTAATCAAGATCATCTCATCTTACCTTGCGTGGCTTTTAAGGTGATCAAAAGTTGACCTAATAAAGGTAAACCACAATTAAGGCCAAACTAATTGATTTAATTCACCTTATCCACAGTTAAAGGCTAAGAGAGAGAGAGAGAGAGAGAGAGAGAGAGAGAGAGATGATGATGATGATGATGATGATGAGGATGAGGAGTGTGAAAGAAAAGAAAGAGAAGATAAATTTCCCTTAGTAACAAGAAAGAA